CGCCCGGTGCGGGCCGTGCCCCGCCGGCCCCCTCACCCCATGGCTGCCCCACCAGGCCTCAGGGGCCGGGGCTGATATTTTCAACTTTCTAGATTTATTTTTTTCTTAAGATTAGCCAGCGTCAACCCCAGTGAGCTCTTTTTAAAGCCCAGCCAGGCGACTGGGCCCTCCCCTCAGCAGCAGGCGCCGAGGACGTGGCCACTAGATGTTGCTGCCGGCCCGGCCGAAGCGGCTTCGTCCTCTCCCAGAGCCACGAGGTGTTTCCCGGGGAGGAAGCGCATTCGGGATCGGTGGGGAATGGTGCTTTTTGTAGCGTACGGAGGGTTTCCCTCGCTAGCCACGCTGATGTGGGGAGGGCGAGAGGCCGGTGGGGTTGTCAGCGTCCCGCAGCAAGGGGATTATTCCCCCGGCCTCACAGGAGCAAAGCCGTGCCTGGGTAACATCGCCGTCGGGACGTGGCTGCACATACTGTGGGAGGGGGAGGAAATGGGGTTGTGCTGGTTTAATTAGCCTGCTCTAATTAAAAGAAGGGAGTGAATTTCATGGGTAAACAAGGCAGATGAGTGTGCTGAGGCTCTGCAGAGCTGAAACCGCTGAAATCTGCTGACCAGGTCTTAGTGTTTCCCCACGGAGGCTGCCCACACGCACGGAGGCTCGGCCACCATCTGCTGCGCTTCATCCCTTCGCCTCCTTTCTGCGTCCTGACAGTGCTCCCCTCGTTGAGAACGATCCAGGGGGCATTTGACTGCCACCAGACCCTCTGGGGAAGGATAGGAGGAATGAAGGAAGCCCTGGCTCGGTGCGGGTTTAGGTTTCCTGTGCTGTGGTTGTGACGAGTCGGAGACCTTTCACACATGGGCTGCACAGAGATGCAGACTCGCGGGGCTGGGACAACGCCTCAGTCCTCCTGAGCTCCTTTATGTCTCCCTTTTGGCAGAGCTGGTGGAGATGGCTCTGCAGCTTTGGCTCTCTGCAGTGCCACACAGTGGGCTGCTCACTGCGGGTGTCTTTCCTTAACACCCCAAGGTACCACTTCTGTTGAAAGGGCTGGTGTGGCTTGTCTTGGGCTGAAAGTAGACTACCATTACATGTCATGCTAAAAAATACTTTCCATATTCCAGCAGACTTATTCTCTCAACAGCTATTTCAACTCAATTTTCCAGGTTTTATCTGAGGGGTTTTTTTGTTTTTTTTTTTTAACATTCAGCGAGCAAATCTGGCCAAGAATGGGAGAAAAGCAGGAGGGATGGGAGGGGATGGCTGAAATGTTATCCCTTTTCTCCCCTGCCCCTCAGAAATGCTTCAGAAAAAATAATTTATTTGAAAATTATCAGGGGGGGAAATAAAGCAGTTCTTGACCAGCTGTCTGATGTAGCTAGCAAGGCTGTTTTAATTAACACTACACTTGGCTACCAGCTACCTCAGACCTAGCTAAGAGCCAATTTAAGGATGTTTTTCTTGCCTGGCAAGTGATATACAGCTGCTGGAGGAGTTAATATCAGCACTGGGAGACCTTCCCCATGGCAGAGAGAAGGCAGCACAGCTATTCAGCAGCTATGAGTCATCTGTACCTGCTTGTGGAAGAAGGACTCTGTCCCCTCCCAGTCATAATTAGACCTTTTTTTTTTTTCTTTCCTCCCTTGCATGCCAGTCTTGTTCTAATTAGTTGCATTTTTAATCTTTGTGAGTAGAATGAAATCCCAAGCAAGGAAACGTTTTTACACTGCTGGAAAACTTAATTAATGATGCATCAGAGAGTTTGATTTCCAAGCGTAATGAAAATTTGTGGATCACGGCAATTCTGTGGGCACTATTTAATGATGTTGCTATTTCTCTTGGCCACGCAAAACATTTACCTCTTCTCTTGGCCTCGCCCTGATCCTGTGAGGTGTGAAGGGACTAACGGGAAGCCTCCCAGGGGCGTTCGGGGCCGCAGCCACAGGAGGAAGCGCGTTTGCTTGCTGCTCCCTGACTTGTCACCTCTTGCAGACGCTGTGCCCATGTTGGGTCCTGGCTCCAGAAGAACAACTTCTAGTCCCTTTAGCACTGACCTCCCTGCACGAGTTGTGTTAAACAGCTACAGAAATGATGTTTTCTTCATTTCCAGAAAGAGCCAGGTGTTGGAAAAATCCCAATTGCTTGGAGCTCTGTCACTTAAGAGCTTCTGAATCAAGCCGATGTACCTTGACCTGACCCCTAGAGCCACTCAGGCTGCCTCGCTCCAGGGCCGATGGGCTCCCGGGGAGGCCGGAGTGCTGTGGTGCTCAGTAGGGATTGACTCCACGCTTGTGTGGGTGAGGGCTGAGCTGGCCCTCGGAGTCGGGGGAGTGGTTGGAGGCTCAACTTGTCCTGAGATGAGCTGTCAGGCAGTGACAGAGGGTGGTAAAGCTGGTGCTGGGTATTTCAGACCATACCTGTTGCCCATCACCCTGTCTCTGGGCGTAATTGCAAGAGCAGAAGAGCCCTTGATGCAAGGGGCACGTCTTGGCACTGTTGCTCGCTGCTGCCTGGGAGAGAAAGCACTTTGAAGTCCTGTGCCGCAGGGAGTTACCCAGAAAGCAGGTACTTTGTCATCATTACCTTTTCAAGTATGATTAAACCAACCCTGGGGCTGATTTGCTGCTTCCAGCAGGTGCTCGGGGAAGGTAGGTGAGACAGAAATGACAATACAGTGGCACGGTGCAAAAGTTTATTTTTAATCCCAAATATTTACGATCAACACCTGCTAAATGGCCAGTAAAATACATTTTATGGTGCCATTAATCTGCAATAAACCCATTTTATTTTTAGACTGTTTGCACAACATTGCCAGCCTGAGTCATCCTTGCCTGCATTTTCTCTCTGCGAGGAGGCTGCCGAGAGCTTCCCTGCCCTTTGTCTTAAGAGCCGGTTACTTCTGTTCGCAGAGCTCTGCCCACCTGCTGCTCAAATCAAACAGCGTGGAAGGAGGATAGTCTCATAACATCAAACGACATACCAGAGGAGGATATTCTTGCTGTAATTCTTGCTGAATATATTTACTTGGAGATTTTTTCTGGTGGGAAGGTAATTGGGAGAAGGCAGGTGGGGCGAATTTTTGCGTTAACGTGTCTGAACGCTGCGAGCCAGCTGGGAAATGAGGCCTGGGGGGTCCTGGCTGTGCCAGGAGGGTCCCTGTCACCCTGGGTGCAGCGGGGAGGGGTGGTGCCAAGGTGGGGAGGGGACACACTGTGTTTTATAACCCCGGGCCAGGTGTGAACCCAAGGAGGCTCACCCCATCCTCAGCCCAAGTATGTTTTACCAATACCCCCCCAGGAGCAGAAAAGCAAGGCAAAAAGCCAAAGCAGACAGTTCAATATTCAGTATTCTGCTCCCTCTCTGTACACTGGGTAGTTTAGCAGGTTGGGGTCCAGCTCTGACACCCCCTTGCCCGTGTGGCCACCAGCCCTGTGCCAGGCAGAGCACCTCTGGGTACAGGAGGTGTTGCTGCCAACGAGCTGTGAAATGTCCAGTCTTCTATGAAGAATTAATTTGTATTGGAACTTGTTACCATTTGTGAGATTTTTTTTTTTGTAATGAGGAAAATTAATTAGTGCCTTGGTCTGAGCCAGTCAGAATAAATGAACATGCAGGCAGGAAGGGGGAGAGGGTGAGGAGGGCTGGAGAAGTTGGTTCCCAGCGGTGCCATGGGATTTGATGAGGGCATAAGGAATAAGAGCAATAACCAGGCTCTAGGGAGGGGAACGAGCCCCTTCCTGCGTGTGGGCTCTGCACCCCGGGGGTGGCTGTGTTTTCGGGGGGGTGACTTGGGTGGGAGAGCTGCTCTCTGCTCCTGCATCTGCCACAAACCCTGGAGATGTTGCCATGGGCCTTGGGCAGCCTGTGCCTCCGAGTGTGGCAAAAATCAGCCACTCCCGGGGATTTCAATCAAATATTCAAATAATTAATCTGGTTCCTTCCCTGTGGTGTGACATAATGAGGATTGCTGGCATTTTCTCTTTTTCCCCACTAACAGATTTTAAATTTTTTTTTTTTCACCGGATAGTCCAATGGCCACAGCTGGAAACCCCCCCCAGCCCTGAGCTACGAGTGAGCGCACACAAGGGTCCCAGCACGAGGAGCAGCCCAGCCTGGTCACAGCCCCAGAACTGGGTACGAAAAACCTCCTGGACTTATCAGCGTTGAACCAGGGAGCTTGTCTGTGCCACCAGACATCCCTCTGCCCCCTCCCTGCCTCAGCAGAGAGCTGGCACTGGGGCTGGCCTCACTGAAAGGGCTAAAACCCACCGTGGGAGGAGCGGGGCTGCCTACATGAACACCATTTTGCTGGAAGAGGATTGAGCACCCACGTGCCATGAGTTTGAGGGTCCCAGGAGGATTGCAGCAGGTAGACATGTTGAGCTGCTTAAAAAAAATAAAAGACATGGAGATTTCAGCCCAAATGTGCTGCCAGTGCTGCGGCTCTTCCAGGCTGTACTAAAATGTCTAACTAAGCCCCCTCGTGTGGGAGATGAGATGGCCCCAGCCATTAAAACGCAGCCACGTATTTAAAGCTTAAGAGGGAAGGTTTAATGGATAAAGTCAATTTAATTATTCATCCTAAGAAAGCTTGTACAAATATCAAATGCTTATTAGTATTCATGCAACCTGTATGATTTCACAACACTGACAGATTAAAGGTTGTATCTAATTGCACTGAGGATGGATTCAGAGTTGGTTGGGTTTGTGTTGTTTTTTTTTAAATGCTTTTTTTTTTTTCTCCCCAGCCTGACAAAGAGAATTTCAGATTAATGCCATCTAACCTTGAAACAGAGACTATCTGAAGTTTCTTCAGATCACTTTGTGATGGATTCCTCTGCCCCTTCCTCAACATGGTTGTTCTTAATCCTTGTTTGATCCCTGTTCCTTGAACGCTGCCGAAGTGGCGCGGGGTGAGCCCAGACCGACGCAGCGCTGCTGTCCCTGTGGGCTGTGGTTTTGTTGAAGCGGAGAGCAGTGGGGCAGAGTCTGGCTGACAAATGGACGTGACTGAATTATTGTTAAAAATGCAAAATAGAAATTGATCCAATTAAATAATAATGACTTGCATTTACCCAGCGCTTTTCCCTTCTGATCTTAAGCAGCGCAACCCTCACAGACAGCCTGTGGAAATTGCTTAACGCTGCAGAGAGTCAATCAGCAGGAAAATTAACAATGGGTGATGTTAAACTGTTTCTCTGTGCCTCTGGTCATGGCCGGGCTTGGGCTGAAGACCCAGTTCTGGGAGCTCAGGGGGTTTTGTACCTCAGCATCCAGGTGACCATCCCCAAAAGAGCCATCAGGGAGCAATTCATGATCATTATCTGGCCTTAAATAATTCAGTCGGAGCTTGACTCTCCCCATGCTGCCAGGATGTTCCTGCAGACTCATGGAAGGAGCCGTTTTGGGTCCTGCTGAGCTTCATGGGGTTTGGGAATGAGTGGCTTTGGCAGAGGGGACAGGCATGTCCCCTGCCCCACAGCCACGAGGCAAAGGCTCATGGCAACCTCCCAGGCGCCGTGGGCTTCCCTGCGCCATGGGGGATGGAGCCCAGCAGGAAGGAGGGAGCGGGGCCCTGGCAGGGCTGGGGGTGGGATGGCCACACGTAGCGGGAGGCAGTGAGGAAGACTTCGGCCTTGGCGGGGCAGGAGGGAAGGGCCTGGAGCCATGCGGCACAATCAGATGCTCTTGGTTGAGAACATCAGAGCTGCTGGAGGCGAGTGAGTTCCCAGTGGTCTGACGTACAGTAAAGACTCGCACCCTGGCCTCAGAGAGACGGTTTCATCCCCATCAGCATCCCCATCATCTTCTCGACCCTGGAGTAGGGGTTTGCATCCAGCAAACTATAAGAAGACACCTTGTCTTCACTAATTGCTCTCAGGACCAGGCTCCTGCCTTGTCCTTCCCTCCTGCTTTGGCAAGAGCCTGTTCCATGTCCCCAGCCCCCGGGGATGGTCTTGGTGCCACGGCAGGGAGGCTGTGCCAGGGAGGTCGGGTCCCTGGGAGGCAGTGAGCCTCGCCAGCTGCTCAGAGGCAGCAAAAGCCCTTTAAATCCCTTCTGCTTTTGGCTGAAGCAGCTCTGAACCTGCAGTTCCCAGCTGAAGCTCGTGTATGGGTGTTGTCTGGGTGCCCCACACCTTACGGGATGTCATGGGATGGAGAGCATATCCCAGTCTTGGCAAACTGCCTGGACATCGACTGAGCTCAGAAATAAGAAAGAAAAGGTTATTTTGTTCTGCCGATGCCCCTGATCTGATGCCTTTCACACAGGGCTGCCAGCATGGTGTGGATCGGGACAGTACAGACCCCCTGTGCGTTTGCTCTGTGCCACCAACAAACTGCCAGCCTGGGCAGCTCTTCATGGGTCTGATGTGTTTATTCTGGGTCTGAGTTTTTGCCTGTGGGATCCCTTGTGCTTGGCTGGGGCAGGAGGAAGAGTCCCAGGAAAGGGCTGTATCCCAGAGCAGCCCAACCCCAGCGCTCCTGAAGGCACCACAAGATGTAACTGTGGGCAGGGAAAACTTTATTTTTTTTTCAACTCCCTGTGCTTCACACTCCTGCTTGGAATTAAATGGTCTGATTTAGGCATATTTTTAGAGTCATAAAGCACAGGTTTGCCAAAAAAGCTTCTAGCAGCAGACGTTCCTGCCTGAAGCTGGATTTTTCTTTCCTTGGCTGGAAGCCTCTGGTCAGGAAGGTGACAAGTGGCCGAGAGACTTGGGTTGGAGAGACAGCTCTGCTCCAGCAGAGTGGGGCAGCACTGTCATCCCCACGGCTCATCCATCTGCTGAGGATGGACCGTGTCTGCAGCTCACCCCCCTCCGCAGCACCTCAGCTCCCCGTGAATCTGGAAAGAGGCTTTGGAAAGGTGATAGGAAAAAGGCTTGTTCCTTTTGTCCCCACTCCAGAGCAGGCAAGGACAAAGCCCTTCTAAATTTGTTCCTTAAAAAAAAAATGTTTTATAATTGAAATTTTAAAAAATAGGAGACTTTCCCTCCTTGGCTCCCCCAGCAGCAGGGCAGCTCCCTGAAGAGCTGCCTGATTCCCCTCCCATGGGCTGCGGCATCCCAGGGCTCCCCTTGCTGGGGCTTCACCAGGGTTTATTCCCAGCGTTGTAATAAGCCCCTTCCCTGGCAACAGTTTGCTCAAAGCTCCTACTCTGTGAAACGTGTTGGTTTTAACAAATGCTTCTTTACAAAGGAGATGGTTCACAACATCAAACCCACCCCCAGCCCTTGCTGTGTATTTTGGGGGATCTCCAGGGGTTTCTCCTGTGTCTCCAGCTGCAGCCACACTGGGCTCCTGCTGCAGCAGAGCAGGAGATGCCTGTCCTGTCCCGTTTCATTTCTGCTAGTATAAATAAAATAAAACAGCCCCTTGGCTGCTTTTTAGCCTGCTGGAGCCTCATTTAATGCACTCCAAGCTGTGGTCCCCACGGCAAAATGGTGGCTTTGGTACCTGGATCCGATGCCCCCAGTATTCGGCCATCTCACACAGGTGCTGGCCCGTGGCTTGGGGCCCGGGTGGGAGATGGGGCAGAGCCAGGACCGGGGCCACAGGAGCGACTCTCCAAACTCATCCCCACCATGTTGCCGTGGTCTCAAGCCCTTCCAACTTGTTCCGCAAGCCCCTGCTCCGTCACCACGCAGGGAATTACTGTCACCAGCCACCAGCCGCTTTTCCTTCAGCTCTGGGGCACCGAGAAGGGGGTGTGGGCATGGGGGACTCTGCCTTTCCCGGCAAAGCTCAATAATTACAGAGGTAAGAGCCCAGGCAGCTGCACGGCGCAGCCTCCCCCTCCACCGAGGGACACACCGGGGCGTCCCAGGCGCCTCTAGGCAGGATTCAGCCCAGCGCTGGGGAGTTCACCTCCACTCCTTTCCAGTCTGCTGCTTAAACTGCAACGGAAGGAGTTTGCCGCTGTCCCAAAAGCGCTATTAATAATTACTTTTATGGTGCTTTTCTGGAATTCTTTGCTATCCCACCGAGATGGAATAATTATTTACAATGATCCTAAATGACTCTTAATTACAGCGGCGCAGGTGCTCGGAGGCAGCCGGCACGAAGCCGCTCGACATATGGAGGCTCTTGCATGAGGTGAGGGATTCGCCGAGTGGCGCCGCTGGAGCTGAGCGGGAGGTGGGACCAGCTCCAAACGCCAGCGGGGAAGGGGACGGTTCAGGCCCAGGGCCTGCAGCTCTGACGGCTGCGCTTAGAAAAGAGTTTTTAGGGGATGTCGAGCTCTGGGAGCGGGATGGACACCTTGGGGCTGGGCTGCGGGAGCTGCCGGCTGGAGGTGATGCGCTGGAGCAGGGCTGGGCCTCCCGGCTACACCCGGCACAAAGTCAGGCCACGCTTCCAGTTTATACAGTTTAATACATGTGAAACAAGATACATTTCCTTTTGAGTAATGAATGCATAAATAACAGAAGATATATGTGAATGCATAAATATGAGGCGGCATGGAACGAACCAAACAAAAATGATTAATATTTTTTTTTTTCCCCCTGTATGTCTTTTCGCTGCCGCTGGCCCGGTGCTCGGGCTGCCGGCGCATCCTCGCGACAGACTCATTGCTGCTCTTATTTCACATCAGCTTTCCATGGCGAAGCTGTCCCACGGTGAGAGGGCCTGGATGAGGGGTGGGGAGGGGGCAAGGACCAGAGTCTAAAAAAGAAAAATCAACCCCAAAACTGAAAAAAAAAAAAAAAGAAGTGGTGTTAACAGGTGACCTGAATTTCTCTAGAGGCTTCTTAGTCGGAGCTGGCGGCGGAAGGGCCTTGGGAGGCGACTGCGTCCACGCGCGGGTGCGGAGGGTGCGGAGGGGAGACCGACAGAAAGAGTGCAAATGGGACAGTTACGGCTACCACCGAGGTTTTGAAGGCGTTCTGCTATGAGGAGGACAAATCATTAGCTTAAATGCTCACAAAGAACATCACCTAAAACAGCTCTTTATACCTTTACATACTGTATCAATAACTTACTTTGAACTGCAGTAAACAAAATACATTTCTTAAATAATTTACTATTTATTTGTTTTGGTTTTTTTATCTCTCTGTAAATTTAACTTTTTCCTTTTATCGTCTTTTTTTTTCCTTTGTAACACAAGAAACCATGTTTGAGCACGTTAGTTCAGATTATTGCGACATTTAACCTGAATTTCAGTTAAAAAAAGGAAAAAAAAAAATAAAGCAACAGGACGGTTGTACAGACAAGAATGAATAACTTATTATTGCACTGGCTACAATTCAGTAGTGATTTGTGTTTTTTTTTTTTTTTTCCTGTAGTTAGGACAACCTCTAAAGTACAAAAGAAAAATGAGAAAGACATCTAAAGGATCAGCTGTGAAAAGAAGCTGGTGGGATGATGGTGGAGGGACGGAGAGGAAAAAAAATGAAAGCAAAGAAAGAAGAGAAACATTTGGAAAATGAATGGCTGTAATAATTAGTTCCACATAAAACCCAAGGAAACACCACCCAGTTGCGGAGTCACATGTAATGCAAAAACCAGTATCGTTTCTCTATAAAAATATGTGCATTATGAAGAGAGACTTTTTGTGGGTATATTTTTTTTTGTCTTTTTTCCTTGTTTTGTATCTCACAAATACATTATTTCTATTTATATAACTGCTGATATACAGACAATGTACAGCTCCCATCTCCTGGGCACTCCCGCGTAATGTGACATCTCTAAAAGGTGCCTTGTTAAAAGTTGAGCATCTTTAAAAAAACAAACCCAACAAAACAACAAAACCCAAAGAGAATCCCCCAAATCCCAACCGCCACCACCTCAAACCCGAATCAATGTGATTGAGGCCACGGAGGGGGGTGGGAGGAACGAAGCAACCCCCTGCATCAACTCCACTTTCCGTTTAGAAAAGAAACCCTCAAACCGCTTTGCAAACCCACTCCCCCCACCCCGAAACCCGTCACCGTTTCGTCCAGCCGTTTGGTTTTTTCTTATTAATTTTTATCTTTTTTGTTTGTTTGTTTGCTTGTTGGTTTTTTTTTTTTTGGTGTGTGTTTTTTTTTTTATTTTTTTGCAAACCTCCACAGCGCTTAAGAACAAGTGACTGCGAGAAAGGAAAAAAAACCCGAGCGAGCAGCCACCCGTGGACCTGCGGCCGCTCAGTCCCTTCAGTTTGGAAACCCACATTGGTGTCAAGCCCTTGAGACCCCCCCACTCCCCCCTCCCAGAAAGCTATACTGGGTCATCTATGTCTTCTTCTGTTGCAACAGTCACAGGGACCAAGTCCTGCTTCCGGAGGGGGCTCTTAGCGATGCCCAGGAGCTCTTTGCTTTTCTCGGCGTTGCTCCACTGAGTTTTTAAGTGATCCTGTTTTTTCAGTTCGGGAGCGTCGGAGTCCGGCTGGGAGTCCCCAGAGGCCGGTGTGGACTGACCGCTGTCCAGGAGGAGATCCGAGAGGCTGCTCAAGGAGCTGCCGTCCAATTGCTCGAAGGAGAAGTTGGGGATGGTCAGGTGCTCCCCGCGGCACGGGGGCTGGCCCCGGCGCTCTGTTTTGGAGGCTGTTTCCCCGGGTTGGCTCTCCGTGAGCTCCAGGGACTCTCTGTAAGCCGGGAACTCACAGGACGGGGTCCTTCGCCGCAACATGCTGTTCTCAGAGGGTTTGGTGCGCGAGGCCGCCCCACCGTCATCCTCCATGGGAGGATCTATAGAAATGCAGGGTGGACTCATCTTCTTCTTCCTCCGGGCTCCATGGATGTACTCGGATTCCATTTGGATGTGGGCAGGCGATCGCTGTTTTTCCTCGGTAGGGTCCTCAAAGCTACAGCCCCCATCGCTGATGGAGGGGCAGATCTCGATGGAGTGTCGCCTTTGGTCGTCTGCCCAGCTGGGCTTGTTGAGGAAGCCCTTCGTATCGATGCTGTAAAACTTCTTCAAGTCCTTCTCCTTGCTGCTGCCCCTGGAGAGGCTGTTTGTGCTGCAGTTCTTGAGAGGCACCGGAGATGGTGCCGGGGAGATGAACGGCGAAGTCGAGCGGCTTCCAGCGTCCGAGTGTTCCCCTCCCCAGTCCTTGGCCGAGCTGTTGATGTGGCGAACCTCCTCGTCAGCCAGGTCGGAGGACTCGAAGGGGCAGCCCTCGGGGTCGGGAGGGCTGTCGCTGGGGCTGGGGATGCCGTGCTGGCCGCAGGTGTTCTTCCGTGCCAGCGTGCTGGGGTGACGGTGAGGCGAGGATGGGGGGGAGCATGGGGGGGTCCCCGGGCGGGAGGCAGCCGAGGGGTGGAGAGGGCTGGGGGTGAAGGTGCTCTGGGGCTGCGTTGCTGATGGTAGTGCCTCTCCAGGCTCTGTTTGCAGGCTGTCCTTGCGGTCCGGAGTCTGCCCGTCCACGGAGTCCGTTCTAATGGCCTCCTGGAAGGTGAGGAGAGATGGGGTGAGAGCCTGGGGATCTGCGGGCTGGCAACATGTCCGGCAATGAAACACGGCACGTGGCAGAACGGTTTGTGGGTCTAACACACCCCACACCACCCCATCCCTGCCCCAGCGTGCCAACTCCTGTCAGACCCTCCCTGTACAAGGTCAGTTTTGCTAACAAAAGCCTTTGTGTACAGGGCTTGTGTCTGCTGAGCCTTTCTGCAGGGTCTTGGTCTTGCTCTAGCACCAAACCCTCAGTCAGTGCAAGCTGTCTAAAGTCACATGGTGTAGGGCCAACTGTAGGCTCCTCACAGCACAGGTAAAACTGAATTGGGCATCTTCACTCTATGCTTTAGCTATTCTTTCATAGAACAGCACATCCACAAAGATGAAAGTAGGTAAAAAGGGCCTTCCCCTGTCTGTTGCTTGCTCAGACTGGAGTATATTAAAATTTATGGCACCAGAAATCATAGACTGATCTGGGTTGACCTTAAAGATCATCCCGTTCCACCACCACCCCACCCTCCCCTCCTCGCCCCAAGCAGGGACACCTTCCACTAGCCCAGGTTGCCCAAAGCCCCGTCCAACCTGGCCTTGAGCCCTGCCAGGGAGGGGGCAGTCACAGCTTCTCTGGACAACCCGTGCCAGGGCCTCACCACCCTCACAGGGAAGAATTCCTTCCTTAGATCTGATCTAAATCTCCCCTCAGTTTAAGACTGTTAATTCTTGTCTATCCCTACAGCTCTGATAGAGAGTCCCTCCCCCCTTTCCTGCAGCCCCTTTCAGCCCTGGGAGGCCGCTCTAAGGTCTCCCTGGAGCCTTCTCTTCTCCAGCTGAACCCCCAACTCTCTCAGCCTGTCCTCACAGGGGGGTGTTCCAGCCCCCTGAGCATCTTCGTGGCCTCTTCTGGACCCACTCAAGCAGGCCCATGTCCTTCTGATGTTGGTGCCCCCAGAGCTGGACCCAGCACCTCAGGGGGGGTCTCATGAGAGTGGAGTAGAGGGGCAGAGTCACCCTCACAAATGTTTTGCTCTAAAAAGGGGAATTCTACTGTCAGCTCCAAGAAAAGAAATCTGAGAGGTAAAAGAAGGGAAGGATCCAGGTGACTACGAAGGAGTTTACCTCTGCAGGCTCTCGGCCTCTCACCTGTCTGCACAGCAGCTTGTTGAGAGTAGGAGATCGAGGTGTGACGTGGGGGGGGAGGATCTTCCAGCGGTGGCGGCCCTCGTGGTTGGGAGACCGGACTGCCAGATGGAGGGACTCCGTTGGGACCCTCAGAGAGGAACACGTTCCCACGGGCTGGGAGCGGATGGAGGTGATGGACCCTAGGAAACAGAGAGTGCGGTCACTGCCACTGCTGGCGTGGGAGATGGGAAGATTTGAGGCAAAACTGGTGTCCGCAGACTCCAGGAGGGGAGTAAATGCAGGAGGGGAAAGGAAAAGCCTGTCTAATCTGGCTGAAATCTCAAGCCTCAGCATAAACCTTGGTCAGTGCCAGGATTAAAAAGCAGGTTTCTCTTGTCCTGTATCCTGCTTTGAATGCTGGGCCATATCTCATCAGGGATGGCAGGGGGGTTAAAGTCTCTGCAAATCATCAGCATTGCATGTGGCTCTGCCCACTCTGGGATATCACCTTTACAAACTTTATGCTCACAGCTTCTATTTGCTGTTTCAGGTAACAGGAATCCTCTGTTGCAGCTCCTACATCACTCAGGATGGATGGCAGCCACCGGGATGGCACAGCAACAAGGGAAGGGTAGGAGGTGAGATGGCATTTGAAGCCCTGCCATTGCTGCTTTCCTGGTGGCTTTGCTTTGGGCAGATTTGTAAAAGGACGTTGCCTGTTTGGAGAACATAGATATGGGAAGTCTGGTGGCCATGAGTCGGGACACCTGGGATGTCTTCGCAGTGCTGCCAGGCAAGAGCAGCACTGCTCAGCTCCCGCGGAGCCTCTGGACCTCAACTCACAGGTCCAAGCTGCCACCGCCTTCTCCATGAGAAGACACTGCTGGCATGCACAGGGCAGTTTTCCCATTCCCTACAGCCCAAACACTACCACCACCATATCTCCACGAGGCAGACCTTGGCTGACCATGGTCATCATATCAGCAGCATGGAGACAGCTTCGAGTGCTTTGACAGTCCCTAAGCTCATGTATCAGGCAGGAATCACTCTCTTGCTGAAGGCTTCCAGTCCCCTGGCTGAGTCTGAAGTCAATCCCTCCTCCCCAGCCCCTTCGTGGTGCTGCGTTACTGCAGTTCTGCGTTGTTTGAAAGATCTTTTGCTTTTTTATTTTTTTGGCTGCAGGATTTATTGTCCTCATTAGCTTGAAACACAACGTCTGTTTCTACATTGCTGCTCCATGTTAAAAACACAGCTATCCATCACTTCAAGAGATCTCGCCCAGAGGTCAGGGAACTTGAACCTATGACAAAAGCCATCCAGGCAGACTGCAGTTGCATTTCAGAAAGAGATTTGTTGTTGTGAAGAAAGAAAAGTTAGTGTTTAATCATTTTTCTTTTGGACCTTTTCTCCAGAACACCACAGAAAGAACAGAGCAGCGAGCTTCCCCCACCCCACTTCTCCCTACTTCTTTCTGGGGCTCTCCTACTGCCAGTTTCTGACCGAGTCTGTGCTGTTCATGTGCTAATCCAGGCTTTACAAAATGTTTTTTATGATGCAGAAGAACTTTGTCGTAAAATCTGTCACAAACATGGTCATAAAATCAAAACCCTATGTCCTCCTCCCTGTCCTTAGTTGGAATTTCCTTCTGTTGGAAACTTTCCATCTAGCTCTCATATAGGAAACCAAAACCCCTTTTAAACTTCATACTCAGGAACACTGAATATCTCTGGATTTTTACATTTATGCCTCTTGTTTTTCTAGTAAATCAGGGAACTGCATTAAGACCAAAATAACACGAGATCTGGTCACGTCACTGTGTAGTCACCGAAGTGTTGGGCGAAGACCACACATCCCTAACCGACACTGAGAAGTCCATGAAAGCACAAATGCTAATGTGAGCCTGTATGTACTCAGTTTTACTTGCACATAACTTATGGGATTGTGACTTAAATCAGAGCGTGGTCAGCTCAGAAGCAGCACAGCTCTGGGTGATGTTGCTTGGATGCATCTACCAGACCAGGTAAAATCTAAGTCCCTGTCACATCCATTGCTCAAGTGCTCTTGAAGAGAAATTTGGGAAACAGAAGAAAATTCTTGATCAGTTCTACCCACCCCTGCCAACATCACAGCAGTTTTATACTGGTATAAATCCTGATTTATACCCGCTACAGAGATGAAAAGCATCCCCAGTAGTCCAGCCATGAAACTCAACCTCTGTTTTCTTTGCTTAGCAAAGAATTTGCAGGTGAAATAATAATAAATACTGAGCAGAGAACATTAACTGGTATCCAGAGAGTTTGAACAAATACAGTTACTTCACCCAAGGAAATCAGAGCGGATCTTGCCAGCTCCACCAGGGTTTGCAAACCCACTACTCATCTGTCCAAGCAGTTCTTGCATTTCAAACAATGTTGCATCAAAGGAAACCAGACTGTTAAGTTCTTGGGAGCCACTCAAGAAGCACATGTACTTTTAGGGAGGCAGATGTTTTCCCTCTTATTGATTTCCCCTCCAAATCAGCTCAACAAAGGAGAGAGAAAGGCATTTTAGGGGAAATGTATTTGGATGCAGTTGGGTAAATGTATACTCTGTGTAGCTCCCAATTCCCTGACTGCAGGGTCTCTCCACAAGATTCATTATAAGGCCAGGATAGGGAGGCACAGGAGAGTGGTTGCTAATCTTTATGCTCCCAAAGAAACTCCTTCATCTCTGAACTCAATGTGCTGTGCTAAAAAGATACTGCTCTGAGACTGAAGCCTGCCTGAAAGAATAGCTGTAAGGGACCTCTGTCAGGAAGTAATACCAACTCCAGCTTTTATTCATGCTGATTTTATTGATTTGTAGTCATGTTGTCAGGGCTGATCAGAGGAAACGTGCAGCTTGTACCCTCAGCTAAAAGCCTGTCCTCTACACCTCTGACACCACTCGGGAGCCCCACTTTTCCCCAGTCATACACCCAAGCCACCAGCTTTCTCCTGAGAAAACGCAGGAACGTGATGAAAACACAAAATTGTGCAGCGCGTGGGAAACCACAGTCCTGCTGATGGTATCAAATTGAAGCAAGCAAGCCCTGGCTCAGCCCATCGGCGTGGGTTGCTTACTCCCTGTCTAACTACCACACGTAGCTGCTACATCACGGTTTCACCTAGGAGAAAGGAGGGAAAACTCTGCGTGCAAGTACCTCTCTGAGATTTGCAGGGATACGTTTCTATCTCCACCTCGTGGAGGGGGAAAGGGGCTTTCTCTGGCATCACTGGCCGGAACATGTAGCTGTCGTTGGGCAAGGAGTGCATGCGGGAAACAGAGATCTTGCGGACAGCCAGAAGGTTTTGAGAGTCCTGTGGCCTCAGAGAGGCTGCGCCGGCCTGCAAAGGAAGGAGACAAGGAGACGGGGTCATTCAGCATCGTGGTGGTGAATTTACAGCAACGTTCTTCCCGTCTGCTTTTTGTTTTAAAACCTTGTATGTGTGTTCCTCTTGGCATTTGACAGAGAGTCTGCAGCCCTGGTGACTGCAATGGGATACCAAAGCTACGCTGAGCTGGCTGAGTAAAGAGCTCAAGTTGCGGCTGGAGTAAAACGAGGCATCGATGACCCACCATTAAGCTGAGTGTTGGAGACCGCAGAGAAAACCTAAGGTCCAGGAAAATGGGGCCCACTCTCTAAGCACACGAGAAAGACAGCATTTCTCACACTGTTTTGCTCTTGGTTTTCCCAGGGATGCATTCAGTCCAGCCTGGGTGGTGATGCCCTTCTCCTCAAAGCTACTCTGGGACAGATGGGCAACGCTGGACAGTCCTCAGCCACACTGACCAAGGGTACCGGGTGTTTCTGAAAATTCATGTACTATTCTCTCCCCAAAACACACATACAGGCAGACATTTAAACATACACATTGACACCACTGCAGACCCTGGGTCCTCTTTTCTACAACATGTAGCATTTTTAGCACCACTGACCCCAGAAGACAGCCATGTGGCAGGAGGCAGAGGAAGGAGAAGACTTCATAGGTGCACATGTGTGGGTGTGGAGCCTGTTCTGGGCTAGAAAAAAGATTTCTCTGTGTTTGCCTTTGCTGTCAAAAGGGTCTGGTTGGAAGTGCCTCGACAGAGCATGTCACAGACCTTAATATCCTTATCCTGGGGTCTTAGGAAGCTTCAGGAACTCAAACCATGTCCCTGTGGTGCTGATGGAGCAGTCGTGAGAGGTGGTGCCATGACTTGGCCAAGTGCTGGGGGAGTGAAAACCCTTGGAACAGGACCTGCAACCTGGCTCCTGGCCCTGAGGTTTTGGTCCTGAACACATTCTCCTCACAATTTACCACGTTATCTAAAGTACGACTAATCGCTCTGGTTTTCCTTTAACGTCAGCCTCCCAATGACTGATTGAAAACATTTTCCCAGCTGCATGTCTTAAATTAAATGTATTTTGCTTTGCTCTGCCAGGCTGTTTTCCCTCTCTGCTAGCAAAATCTGGGCCTGAGATCCCTCTCTGGATAGTTTGGAGGTCACCAAGGATCTGGTTAAATCTGTTTTTTCCCTACATTTCTGGCTTACAAATTTATTTCCTCAGATCCCTAAAGAGACACATCCTGAGACAAATTACTTGATGCTTTTACGCTGTTGAGCTTGGCTGGGAAGAGAGGGGGGATAGGCAGCAGTTATTTACAGGTAGTTGGCATCCAGTGCTGACTGCTGCCTTGCCCAGCAGCCCTCCGGGTGCAACCCAGGTCTCTCGTCTGATATATTAATGCATCAGCAGCGTGGCTGTGCCAGTTGGCCTCTTGCCATTACAGCTAATAAGCTATCAGCATCACAACACCTGAGCTGAAGGCAGGCAGGTGATTGTTAACACCCCAGTGCCACACAGAGAACAAAAGGTCTTGCTCTACTTTCTCGGTAGTCTAACAGAAGGATCATAGTATCTGTCTATTAATCTCAGTTTGTCTTTACAGGATCTTGTATTGGTTTTGTCTGGCTGGGACAAATGAACAGAAATCCCTTCTTGACATTAACAACTGCAGTTTTTAAGGTTTCAGCTATTGAGGCCCAATTGAGTTAGGGACGTGGGCAAATTCCAAATTACTTCAAAGCCACTGTAAAATGTACTTGAAATATGAAACATGGAAAGAAAGCCTGTTGGCTCACACCTGGTGAGCTACAAAGGTTTGGAGACACACCACTCCTGCTCCTTTTCTGTGGTGGGAAACATCTGATGCATTCGGGAGCTTGATCCCATGCCCTGGAAATCAGTGTGGCTCCTTTGAAACCCACAAAAGTCCAACCTGGACCAGCTGAGACTGCATATGGTGAACCCTGCCTGCAGGCACCCTAAGGGCTTGGGAGGATCCCAGGCATCTGACAGAGATGTGCAAGGTGGGAGTCTACTCACCGTGGGACCCCTCCCAGGCCAAGTAGAAAGGCAATAAATTGACTGTAGACAGTCTTGGTGACACAGCTCAGAGGCTCAGTTAAGCATCTGTAATCAATAAGCACAACTCCCTCCTCTTGTCTGGGAATCAATAGTCTGTTAGAGCTCTGATTTTGCTTTGGTGCAGAGGGAGCTCAAGAAGAAATAATCCTGCAAACACCTCCACAGGACATGACCCTTCCTGGGTGATTAAATGCCCAGAAGATACTCTGTAAGGAAAGGTGACTGGCAGGATACTCTGGAAGAGGGAACACTGTAACTTCTCAGAGGCCTGGAGCCAAGAGCCTGCAAACAAGCTGTGGGCAAAATTCCCAGAGGAAGGGCTCCTCCTGATTGCTTTCTGAAAGCCTGTCTCCAGCACTGCCAGCGAGCTTAGCCATTTCCCGCAGCCTCTGCGGTGGGGAAGGCAGAGGCAGAACACGGGCAGGAGGCAACTCCCTGCCTGTGCCTGCCAACACTGCTGCCCCTGCACAGGCCAGCTCTGGGGGCACCCAGGGCCATGCTGCTGGTCCCTGTACAGGTAACAAGCTCTTGGCTCTGCCAGCAGAAACTCAAGACCCTTTGCAGTGGCATTTACAAAGTCCCAAATGTCTGTCCCTGTAACATGCCTTCCCCATGATTTCCCTTTGAGTCTCTGCAGCTTCCAGGTGGCCAAGGAGCCACCGTCCAGAGCTATGAGCTTCCTTGAGGATTATACCTTAATATCACTCATCTTGCACAGGGAAAACCACTTGGTCATCAAGAGATTAACCTGAGCCCTGAATTTGCTTGGTGATGCTGCGAGATACTTGTCACTAGAAGGTGCCTTGATAGTCATGACAGAGATAAGGTGAGAAAGTGGAAAATGGCCCAAGTCTAAAGCAGATTAATTCTGGGTGGACACTGCAAGTTCTCTGATGACAGCAAATGTGCTGCCCCATTGGAGTTTGTGCATCTTCAGCACTGGCTGTGGCTTGCACGTTCTCGTGCCCACCGGAGGACATCTGGAGCTCATTCACCCCAGGGAGCGCACTGTGCTGCAAACCATGCAAAATCCTTACGTGCTGTGACCTGGGCACCAGTTCGTGGTGCAATCGGGAGCGGGCTACAGCCCTTCTCCTCTGCTGGATGATCTCCCCAGAGCATCTCCTGAATCCACAGCTCTGGTGCTTGCTGAAAGCCCAACGCTCTGATCTACTCATGCCTTTGTTCCCTCAATATTGGATCATAAACAGGTTACAGTTATGGTAAGAAAACCAAACTGTGCTGTTTTCTCCACAAAGGACTCTGCCTGCCTCCAGCTCTCAATACATCATTTGAAGACTGCTCACACATCACATTGCATGTTAAATGCGAGACTTTTTTTGGCTAAAAAAAGAGTATTTAATTTGTGTCCCACACAAAGCTGCTGGCAGAGTCGGCTGGGACATGTTCTGTGCCCAGCTCCTGCACACGCAAAGGCAGTACGAAGGACAGAGGATGGAAACGACTGTTGCAGCTGTGAAGACACAAGTTTAGGACAGTTCAGACACCACCACTAGCTGCACAGCACCAAAGCACAATGCCACAATGCAGAAGCAACGGCGCGGCGTCATTCACCTCAGCCTCGTGGCCTGGGGTTTTGTGGGAAGGTGTCAGGACATGGTGGGAAACAGAGCAGAAGGACGGGATTTCCATGATGGGAGTCTCTGCCCCCTCCAGCGTGTCTGAGTCTGGGATGGCTAAAGACACATTGTCACAGCTCAGCGCCTCCTTCAAATCAGGGAGATAAAAAGCATCAGTAGCAGAGCAAGGCTGAGTCCTAACCTTGAACACGTTTGACCCGTGGCATTTCCTAGTTGCCCCAGAGCAGGAAGGAGGAGAAAAGGAAACATGGGCTGCAAAAACTGGCACAAGTGGCAATAAAATACAGAGTGTCTTGCAACACCTTTGACAACCTCCAACAGGATTAGTCATACAAAACCCTGCATATTTGAGCTCTTCAGTGCAGCTCACAGGGAGGGCAGGACTGAGCTGCCAGCCAGGCCCAGAGAAGCCTGGGTGTCTGAGAGAGGAGGGAGGTCATTGCAACGAGCCAGACCCACTGCATGCCTCTGCCTCACTACCATCCAGGGGAGGGGGAGCCCTGGCTTGCAAATCCTCACCTGCATTCAAGCAATCTCATCCACAGGGGGAAATCTGTGGCCAGCTCCCTGCTCCTGATGGAATCAGAGCATCTCCTCTTACTACGGGTTTTCTAGAGCTAAGAGGAAGCTCTGTGTGGCTCCTGATGTGTTCGGGAGGTATTGGAAGATGAGGAAAACTCAATGAACTCAGTTTGCAATTACAGCCTACGTGAAAGGATGTGCCCTCTCTTCCCTCAATGAGAAAAGCAACCTGGGTGTTTATGGTGCATTTTACTGCAGAAATGTCTATTAGAAGCTACATTCAAATAGTGAATTCTCCATTGCCGTGTAACTAAATTTCTTTTTACCTGACTTAATAAAGTCTGATAGATTTTACAAAAATCTAAGTTAATGTAATTTAATCTCAAATCCCCCATTGATTTTGTGGTAGATTTATTTGTGATCATGGTGACAAAGCAATTTTGCATTCACTCTTAATCACACGCTGCTGACATGCGATGAGATAATGATCTCATGTCCCTCCTTCCCTGCCTTGACTTCTGATTTCCCTGTTTTTCTAGAGGACTGAGAGAAATCAGAGAGCAGGCAGTGTCTGGAAAATCAACCCATGAACCTCCAGCTTCTTGCTAAGGGGCTCTGACAATTCCCAGGGTCCCAGTCAGCCACGCCCAGCACAAGCCAGTGGGATGCTGCACCTTGCACCAGCGCCAGACATGCCCACCCAAGCTGCACACCACGATTTGTTTGAGGCTCCTTTGGATATCCCAAAGTAGGATTAAAAACAACCTGAGCAGTATATCTGTGTCTGTGTGAAGAGAATTTATGCCACGCCTTGCTGTATGTGTCAGGGCTGACAGTGCCAGCATTCCCAGGGCTTTCTGAGATTGCTCCCTGGTGCTGCTGTACCTGCTAAAATGACAAGGACCGAGGCGTGGGCTGGGAGAGCAGGACAGGGACCAGTGGCTATTATGGCTCTGAACTTAAAATTCAAAACCTTTGAATGAATTAGAAATGGCAAGAAAGGGCCTTTCAACCCTCCCCTAGAACAATGGTCAGGACAGCGTTGGCTTCAAGCAGCCGTTCACCTCCGAGAGCCCTCCTGAGATGACTCAAGATGTGGAGGTGGCAGTGACAGCTCTGCCATGGGGGGACCTGGGGAAGCTGCCGTCCTCCCACGCTGCCTTGTCTCCTGCCTCTTTGGCTCTGTGTCACTGGGGACTGCCCGATGATCAGACAGCAGTGACATGTGAGAACCGTCCCCTCCCTACCCTGAGCACCAGAAGAGCAGATGCTGTGTGTGAATTATTACCAGGGCTTGGTGCTTCACCTGCACCGCTGACTCTGACTTCACGGTCTCCTGACTTCTGTAGGGTGCCCTGCTCTCCGGGGCCACTGCACCTCCCCTGCTCCCACTGGTGGCTGAGGTGGTTGCTCCTTTGGACATCTCCAACTCGATCTCAGCATCCATCTCAGCATCCTCCTTGGCCTCTTTGTTGCTCTCCTCCAAGTGCTTCATCAGCACTGCCACCACCACATTGACCAGGACGAACTGTGCGATGAGGACAAAGGTGACGAAGTAGACAGGAGAGATAACAGGCAGGTAACTGAGGCAGTGCTTGTCTTCCCGAGTGCATTCCCGGAGAGTGTCCTGCAACAGAGAGGGAGAAGTGAGGGATTAATAAGGGCTGGGACTTTGCTTGAGCTCCAAATACAGAAATATCAAAGACAACCTGCTGAGGACTGAGAAGTATATAATAACATATCCTGGACATAACAGCTTGTAGGTACAACTAAAATGGAGAAAAGAAAATACGGACATAATTAATTACATCATCTACAAAGAGGAAGACTGTCTTACAGCCCAAAGGAACAGGACAGAGAGTTCATGATTACTCCACTCAGTCACAAGAACTGGCATAATTTTCCTGAAGTATTATATATATGTTAAAAAGATTTAAGTTTCAAGTTGGGTGAGACTTAGGACAAGTTATCACTTGAAAATACACTTGGCTTTTAAATGGGAAGTTTTAAGAGGAAATCTTTTTTGTTTTCACATAAGAATTGTCTAAATTTGTTTGAAATCGTATCTATTTATCTACAGAGAGAAGAAAATACCCAGACAGGGACTGCACACACCTTCATGATACCATTCCAGTTGTCCCCTGTTGACACCCTGAAGAGGGTGAGAAAGGCCATGCCGAAGTTGGTGAAAGTTGCGTGCCGGCTCAGACCTTCGCAGGGATTTTCTTCGCTGCAGTCTGCCGGAGGAGAAGCAGAAGCACGTCAGTGAAGCCACATTTGCCAATGCTTACTCAGAGCAGCACCCCAAACCTGGCGGAGAGACCCTGAGATATGTCGCACTGCATCACATGGCATCAGGGAGGACTGCGAAGTGCTGGCCTCGTGGTGGCCTGTGACTACTGAAGGGCAGCTGCTGAGATCATGTAGCCCAACTCTCCCTGGTGGAGGCAGGTGATATAATGGACAGCAACACATCGTGGCTTAGCAAGTCCAGGTTGGATATTAGGAAAGTTGTTTTTGTCTGGAGGGCCCCAACAGCCCTGGGACAGGTTACCAGAGAGGTAGGGGAACTCTGTCCTTGGAATTTTTCAAGCTTTGGCTGGACAAAGCCACAGCTATTCTGAGCTGCTGCTGGGGCTTCAAGTGGAGGGGGCCTCCAGAGGCCTCTTCCACCAGCACTTCTGTGATTGTCATTACTTTATCCCAACAGGCAGAGCCAACACAAAGAGATTTAAAAGGAGCTGAAAACAAGCAGACTTGCTGAGCTGTCTTAACAAATACCGCTCTACAGTACCCTTTGTTCGTAATCCTCCTGATTCTGTCCTTGTCTTGATTATTTTTTACAGAGTACATCTACCATGAGGGATATTTCACTGAGACAAAGTGGAGCAATTTGACATTTTCCCCCTGAGAATTAATATACTAATGAATGTAAATTGAACATATGAAATATGCCTCTTTCCATAAAACACAGAGTCATTAAATGTTCGTTAGGACAGGCAGCAATATCTCTTGCTAGGGCATTTCACTGTTAGGTATTTATTTCAGAGGCAAATAGGAAGGAAAACCAAAAAAGAAAAAAACACCCACAAATGACTAGTCTTGGAGGGGCAAGTGCTGATGGTTCTTGTGGCTGACATGGACTAGCAGTGATTGTGAAAAAGAAAGGAAAGTATTTCCCCATTAAATCAGGGTGGGAAGTGGTGTGCTGACTGCCTGCAGCTTGCCCCAGACGACATCGGGGCTTTCCCAGTCTGTGACCACATGCTGTGGTTACCTGGGGCTGGCACTAGAAAGATGTGTGCATGGAGACACTAGAAGGATTCAGCACAGCAGAAGGTGCCTCTCTGAATAAGACATTTTTCATCTTTGTGGCTGAAGAAATACATACCTATATATCTAGATATGTAGTATAAACCCCACAGTATTTCATCTGGGATGGATGCAGAACTAATTTTTTTCCAGAATTTGTTGAAGACTGAAACATCATTTGTCTTTGGTGGAAAGAAATATTCTGCTTTTAGGCATTTGTAATCCAAGCAGAGGGCTGGACTCATAAAGGGGATTAATGACAGCCATAAAATCACTGTGGAGGAAGGGTGCTTCTGATGCTCTTGAAGCCCTAATTGGGACGCAAGCACTGAGAGGGTAGACACGTCTCCTTCCAACAGCATGTTTAAAGGCAGTGACTGCCTTGGCTGGCTAAACTGGGCTTAGTGTTTTCTCGGGCTATAGTGTTTTCTCTCTGACTCCACCTGATTTCAGTGGTGGACACATTCATGATCAGCTACACAGTATCCTCAAGCTGGAGGAATAAATTATGCTGGACAATCAGGAACCAGTGGATGCTTCCCGATTTATGTAGGAATGGGAAGGTGATGCTGAGAATAACGGACAGACAAGACTTGGGCAGCTGGAAGAGCAATGTCAGCCAAGTGCAGAAAAGTAATGGAGTGTGGTGGAAGCTCCGAAGAGGGACATGTTTATGGTGGCATCTCTCCAGTATGAATCTGACTACCATCCAGCTTTGCAGACTCATGTTCTGTCTTAAGTAGCAAACTTCCATCTTTGTGAATATATCCATGCTGGACAACTGTATTTAAACAGCAAATAGTTCCTCTACAGCCAAGGGTGGTGTTGGACAAATCTCTAAGTGTGTGTGTGTGCACGTTAGACAGGTTCTGTATTACATCCTCATGTGTCATCTGTGACCCTGAGATCAAGAGAAAACTTTAATCTTCAGACCATGAGCTGTGAAGCTAAGGAAGTCTTGAGAATGAGAGAGAGAAGAAAGGAAACAGCTAGATACCAAATAAACATCAAGCGGATGAAATAAATTGTGTCAGACACATTACTCACCTAGCTTGCCAAACAATTCCACTCCCAGGGCAGCATAGATAAAAAACAGGAGCATAAAAAGTAGGCCAAGGTTCCCTACCTACACAAGGAGAAAGCAGAACAAGGGTCAGGCAAGTTGAGGTCACAAATTAAATTGCTCCATCACATTTTAAACACAAGCAAAAGAGGGACTGGTGGCCAGAGGTTAATCATCATCTTCCCTGGCTTCCAACACCCCGGTCCCCTTTCACAGCTCTGCTTTAACAGACCCAGAGAAGTCTCCTATGTCAGGGAAGGAGCAGATACTCCCATGTGCAAACCAGTCTCTGTGGCTGGTGCCTCTCCATCGCCCTTCCACTTACCCAGGATGCTGCCTTTGTCTGTAATTTGGCCAACTTGTAGCTGTAGCCTCAGTGGAACTTAGCATTGCACCCCAGTGCAGTGGTAGCTTAGGTAACCTGGTGCTCTGGTTTGAGTTTTAAGGGCCTTTCTCTTCTCTTTGCCAGGTTTGAGACTCTGAGCACGAAGGCTGAGGGTTTTGAGACAGTGACATTAACAAGACATGGCTCAAGCCACAAGAGGAATTGCCTGATTTTGAAAGGTTTCACTGGCCTGGAAGGCCTTCAGAAAAGGAACATATGCTCCAGCAAGATGTAAAGCTTTCCTAGCCTTGCCGCTTTACACTCAACAACTACCTGAATTTTAGCTTTCAAAAGAAAAGCCCTATTCCATCTACCAACACTCAAACACAAGCACTGTGCGGTTCAAACCCTGCGTGGTGTGCTGCTAGTAGGTATTAACGTGCACTGCAAGGTGGCTGAAGGGGATGCTAATAGAAGTGCAGGGATGCTAAAGGGAACATAAAGGTTCTTAATAACGATGGCATTACAGTCATCCGCACCAGAGTCAATCACTACATGGGGTCTAAGCCTTTATGACATCTCAAAGAGCAGATTTTTTGTGATTCAGGCAGAGAACATGAAGGGCAGAGTAACCTGCCCAGCTCTGCATTTTACCCACAACTAACTCTGGTCACATTTACCTTTCCTGCTGCTTTTAAATGCCTTGTGTCTATCAGCCTGTAACAGAGATAGAGCAATCGAGTTCTCCAGTTAGACATGGTCTCACAAGCACTATTTTATCTCTAAATAAAAATGAACTAGGTGGTGATTCAGGTAGTCTGGCCGAGGGATTCATGATCTCCAAGGTATTTTCTAGTGAACTCTACAGTTCGAGAGAGCTTTCTTCTCTGAGGCAGCACAGCCACAATGTTGCTGAGTATTTTGACCATGCTGATTAATTTCATTAGAAAGGTTATTATCAGTACTATACCTGTTATCATAAAATTAACACAGCTATCACTTATGAAGCATGGGTTTTTTTGTATTAAAGAAATGGGAATAGCCAAATCACCCAGTGGAGACTGTAATTGCTGTGAAGCCTAAACTGGCTACTACACGTGGAGCTTTCAATTCCACTAACATTATCATCATACTCCAGGGAATAATAGAGATAATACAGTGATGTGGATGGCTGGTCTGGATTATTTCATCAGCATGTACTGTCTTCTGGAATAGTGTTTCCTAATGCATGTCTGCTGGACCACTGGTGGTTTGTAAGACAGAAGGCAGTCTGCAAAATGACTGCAAATTAGAAAACACAGGAAAACAGGCACACACACCAGTGCACACACACACACACACACTGCCGGGAAGGCAAATGAGCAAATAATTAAAGAGAAAGAAAACAAAAGTGATAAATGAGTTTTCTAGGTTGAGTGTAAATTAAAGCCTGATGTAATAGGACTGTTAGAAGAGGGTCTTGGAATTTTTTCAAAGAAGTCTATAAGCTGAATATTTTACTGCCATTTTAATGCCTAATAAATCATCCTGCAAACTTCTGGCATTGAAGAAATTCCAAAGAATTTAGACTAACACCAAAGTTACTACCAGGTTATCAGTCAAAACTATTATCTATCTCTCAACATGCAAAGCGTGTTATGAACTGAGATTTGCTCATAAACAATTTGCATTTGTGTTGTGACTAACTACATTACTGAACCAACAAGTCCCATAACTAGTCCTTCAAAGACCACTTCTCACTCAGGGTTTTGCTGTATTGGCTCAAGGCACCCCAGCTACAGGCACACTAAAAATGCTAACAGAAGCATGTTTGCTAATGTGATATTTGCTGGTGTCTAAGCTTGCATTTGCCCTTGACTGAGAGCAGACACACGGGCAGTTCCAAAGCTCGGCTGATGCACAGGATATCTTGGGAAGTGACTGAATGTCTGACTGCTGTGGAAACGTGGCTACATGAAAGAGAGATGTGGGAGACAGCAGCGAGTCAAAGACCCTGAGATGGGTGATGGCACAACCTTTACAGTTAACCCCAATCCCGACCTGTATCTAGACATCCAGAATTGCTCTGGAGTGTCAACTAAGAATAAAGTTTCTCCCCATGTGCACAAGAAAAACTTGCTGGCCTGACCACCCCCTGCAGATGTAGCATCCACATGGATATGTGCAGGCACTTGGTGACTCGTGAAGTTAGAGAGGACATGAGTTTCTCAGCAGCCCACAAACACCTGATGCTCAAGAGAATGTGGCTGAGCAAAATGGCTCATGTCTTGCTTAGGTGCTTCAGCAAAACTGCTTTGTGTAGCTTCTGGCTGTACTGAATCGGCACAAGTCAGTGCCAGATTTAATATTTTATCAGTGCTAGCCCATGGCTCTCTGGTGTGTGTTCCTCAGGGAAAAAAAAAGAAGGTCCTTCTCAGTCCATGGCCTTCACCAAGGCCTGAGCACAGAGAAGGGCCCAAGGCATGCTCTCAGAGATGGGCTGAGGTGGAGGCAGCACCGTCTGCCAGCAGCTGCTGAGCAAGAGAGAAGGCAGACTGGATGTGTGTCTGTGACCTTGAGTGAGTCACTCCTCTCCTGTAACTCAACGTACCCATTTGTATTACCCTTGCGGATAGGTAATTAATGTCTCTAAAGCACTTTGAGATCTACTGAGACCAGACAAGAAAAAGACTGTACATGAATTATGTTGCTGGGAGGAACGGGAGGGGGCACAGCACATCCAGGCACTTTTCTCCAGCAGCTGAAGGCTGGGATGCCTGTGCTGGACTCCCATCAGGGACAGAGATCCAGCTCTAGTCAACAACCTCAATTCTGGCAGCTGGTCACCAAAGCAGGCTCTGAGAAGTGGTTCTGCTCTAGCAGCACTGAGAGGGTCAGCCCATGCTCTGTTTATCCATCACACTCCCCCTGACTTGGGCTGGTGCCTTTGGCTGGGCAGAGAAAACTACAGATAACACCTTTCTCTGGCAGGCAGAGACTATCCATCATTTGCTGTGGCTCCAGTGTTGAGGGGAGGCTGTGGCCTGTAGGGAGTGAAGCAGAGATGAAGAACATCTTGGAGATATTCTTGGTGCCCTAAAGTACCTCAGAAAAGCCACAAGAGAAGGCAGTGATTTCTCCTAGACTTCCACTTTCTGGCATCCTGGCTGTCATATACTGCTGGTAAACTGTGTGCCTGGGGCAAAGGGATGTTGCGGGGAGAGAGACAGCGTCATCCATCCCACCCAGAGGAGCAGGGAGAGTCTGTATGAGGAGTTACCACCCTTCACCACTGTGTATCCCAGCTGGACCTACTATTTGGCAGGGTTAAAATGGTCTGTGATCTGCCATTGCAAAAGCCCTGGAATAACCCTGCTCAGTGGAAAGAAAAGCGACTCTCCTTTCCACACACCCAGCAAAACCCTTCTCCCACTGCCCCTGCATGGCCTGGGGACGCTCTCTCTGCTTTACTCTTGCAGACATCACTGCTATCAGTTTTCTGCCTCCTCTTAAGTGAGACTGCAGTAGCTAAACACCACTGCATGTCCCATCAGAGTTCAACCTCTGACCTACACCGCTAAGCAAAAAAGCCCCTGCCTGCAGGCAGACAGAGCAACTCTGACAGGCTGTATCAGCTTGATCTGCAAGTGTGTTGCACTGATCAGGTACAAGAGGCCACCAGCACCTGGGTACTATCACCCCTCTGTTGCCCTGTCAGCTGTGTGGTCCTACCCAAATTCCTCTAGAGCCTGCTGGCCTCTGCTCTCCCTGTTCTGGGAGAGGGATTGATAGGTGTTTTCTGCTGCCCCACTTGGCTGGCTAAAGCACACTGCAGTTCCTCTTGTGTCTCTTCCCGCTCTGACATCAATTATTTCTGCACCACTGGCCCACACCTTGGCATTTCAGTTGTCCATGCAGGCAATGCACACAGCTCCCTGGGATGCCTGTCAAGAGCAATTTCTCACAAAACTAAGCTCCTGCCAATCCTTTCCAAGGACATGAATCCTCCTCATCTTCCTTCCAGCACTCTCCAGCCAAAGCAATAATCCTGGCAGCAGGAAAACACAGGCTCATTTATGCACTAGACCCAAGAGAAAATGGACACATTTGTCTGCTTGGAAAACGGAGGCCATCTGTGTGAATTCCAGGACTAGTGGCAAGGCCCAGACAGAACCTTGGAGGCTAATCACTGGTGCAACCACAGGGCCACTAGCTGAACTGAACGAGCTCCTCTTTCTGAGTATGCACTCAGTCCCACAGAAACCAGTGCTAACAGCCAGCAGAACGGTGGTTTCTCTCCCTAATGATTTCTGCTTTGCTACTCAAATCTCTCAGGCATCTTTGCACTTCTTTCCAGTGTGCAGCATGGCACACACATACCTATTTTCCAAAATCTGTCTCATCTGCAGTGCTTGCTGGTGAGACATTTCTATTCTTGCTCTCTGAGCTTCACAGTCACTGTGGGTTTTCAGCATCTGGCAAAAGCAGACTACTGTTTCTGTCCCACAACTGCTGTTAGACGATGCCAGAAAAACTCTTCAAGAGCTGAAGTTGAGATAAGCACAGGAATTACAGTGTCAAGAAGAGTTAAACTCCTGGACAGGATTAAACTACAGGTTCTGTCCTTCAGGGCACTGATAGAATGAGGAGCTTTTCACTTTTTTTCTTGGCACAGAGTCCATCTGGGGGGGGTGTTTCAAACTTTGAAGACAAACAGGAGGTATACTGTACAGTCCTGCATTTACTTAATGTGCCATCTGCAGACCAAGTGAGAAAAAAAAGAAGGAAAAAGAACCCAAATCTTTTGGTAGGAAGGTTCCACATTTTTCTATTGTTGGCCCTGCAGAGCCAGGATGGTAACTGGACTGGATTCCACTTTGTCCTCTCCATCAGGCAGAGCACTGGCAGCTTAGCACTGACTGCAGATTTTCTTACTGGCAATCGATACTAGCAGTGCTGTGCAGGCTGAGCTGGGCTGCTCAGTATGGTGGATTCACTTACACAACCAGCATTTTAACCCAGGGAAATGCAGTGTTACAAATCTGAGAGTGAAGTGCAGGCCATGCTACAGAAAGGGTGGGTTGTACTTTGGAAAGCAGGGGATGTGAAAAGGACTAAAAGATTACCATCAAATAGGAGTCTTATAGAGCAGACATTGCCTACAAAACCGATGCAGACACCAGATGTATAAGTAAGGGAATATTCAGCTGAAGCACGAGTGGTATAATTCATTATATAGCCTTAATGGGGCCAGAGGTCATAAAGTAGAGGAAAACACTTGGAACAGGTCTTCAAAACCTGCTTCATACTGAGAGATTAAAGGGTTTCTGTGTTCTATTTGCCAGACTGCAAGAGATTATTTTATCTCTTATTGCTCCAAAAAGGAGAAGTTCTAAAAGAGCAAAATTACATCCAAAGAAGAAACAAATGTGGCTAATTCAGACTAAAACCACCAGACTATTTTAGCAGAAAGAGTAAACATCTACTGGAAGAATGTATTTAATCAGTAGGGGATGGCCAGTTCCCTAACACTTTGCATCCTTAAAACAAGACCAGGTGGCTTTTAAAAGCCATGCTGAAGTGCAGAGCTTCGTGGCTGGTGTTACGGTAGGAGCAGGCTTCTGCCACCACAGGGGAGTTTTCAGCCTGCGAACAGCAATACTGAGCTGGCTTAATTAGGACTGGCAACGTCTAAGTAATGAAGTCAGTGCTGGTCACGCTATTCTAGCTCTAAGCAGTGGATCTACTTCATGTTTACACCAGCGTAGCTGATTTTAGCACTTCACACTTTAAAGTCCATGGCAGATTTTGTTTGTTCTCCAACAGGGTATGCCATGAGGGTCCACCTTCAGAGCTGAGGCTGGCGGTGCCTTTCTAGGTGACATGGCCCCACTACTACTTCAACCTCTTGGTCAACCAGCTGTGAAATTGGAAAACTTGGGTTCCTGTTTGCAAAGGAGATACTGCCTCAAGGCCGCGCAGCAGTGGGTAAAAAGGCCAGTGCTGCAGAAGCACAGATGGCCTGTGGCAGGAACCTGATATCGATTCACACTATCCCAAACATTTTCTGGGACTAGGAGGGCACAGAGGGGGTAGGCCAAGAATGTACCATTTTGAGATCTTTCCCTGACCATTCTTTCTGTCTCTCTTGCCTCTTCTCTACTCCATCTCATGAGACATGGTAGAGGAGATCTCTGATTTGGTAGAAACAAGGTTACCACACAAGGAGGATGCAATAGGGTAGCAAGTCTTCCTGCACTGAAAACAGCAGCTCAAGGTCAGTCTGAAGTTCCAGAAGAGGAGACTGAGCCTGTACTGTGACAGCTTCAATCTTGGATCAAAATGCTAACATTCTCCCAACATAGTTAGTTCTCTAAATTCAAGTCATATCTGCTGCTGAATAAGTGTACTGCAATGGCAATACCTTGCCATAGTAAGCCCATAAATGGGCATTCTACACACACCAGACAAAGAATTTCCCCCAAAACCTTAATGAATAGACATCAAATTAACTTTTCTTGTCATTTAGCAGACACATTCAGTGAGGATTTTCCAGCTGTGGTTATAGGCTGCTACATTAACTGGGGTAGGAACTCTTTCCCTGTCTTTGAAATGAAAGCTGTAGCTTCATGAAGTGTGATTGTCGTCAGCGGGGTCTTCCCAAACCTCCCTTCTCATTTTCTGAATTTCACTGGAGGACAAAATGACATTTTTATCTGCCCAAGAACTACTTGGAACATCCCTGGGGATTTCCCTTTAAAAGACTTTGGTTTGAATGTAAACTGCAAAAACACCACAAGGAAACAAAAAACCTGGCCTGCAGCCACCCTATTGTTTGGGGGGGAAGAAAAAACAAGGAGAGAGAAAAAACATGCTCTGTAATCATAGTGCTTTTGAAAGAAAAAAAAATAGACACAAATCAAATGCTTTCTTGAAATGCCAAAACACAGGTCAGGTTGGTAAATTCCATGCTTTAGCCTCAGCCAAAATCCTTCACTGAAAAGGAAATCTGAATACCAAAGGGCAAATGCCTCAGATGAGAAACATTTTTATGGCAGTGATGAAAAGTAAAGGTCTTTCCAAGAAAAAGAAATTCCCCCTGTTTTCCAATTCATTTTGAATAGATACTTTGCACGTAGGAACTAACTCACTCATAGGAACTAACTCATAGGGGTATATTTGGGTAACTACATGTACTAGTTCTATTGATTCTCATATGGCCACTCATATTCTGGAGAAGATGTCTCCATCGTGTCTGCTTTTGGCCAAGCCACAGTGTTATCATCCTGCCCTTGAGATGTGATTCCTCTGCAGACAGCTGAAGCTGATCAAGATGTGACTGCCCACCGTGGTGCCCTGGGCATACGGGGCTGGGAGAGGGGAGGCCCGACTCTCCCCATCCATCCCGGGGCACACTGTGATGGCTTTTACACAGAATGGAGTGGGTTCCCTCATAAAGCTCCTGCCAATGACTCAGCTGTGTGTTTTTTTGGAGGGGTTGAAAACTAAGGACTTGTCTGACCATGCTTGTGCATTCTACAAGTGCTGCTTCTGAACTGCCAGCTCAGAGAGGGCAGCTGCAGAGTTTCTCTGTCTCATTTTTGATGGCCTGGCACCTCATATTGGTACTCACTTCTGGGTGAAGTGTGGCATTTCCTTTCTGATCTCAGAGCATCTTCACCCCCTCTTGTATAGGGGTGAATGAATCCACAAGTATCTACAGTCCCTTTCCCCACCCTCAGTACTGACTGGTGAGATACAGGATCCTGGTGTTATATGAAATAGGAATGTGTAGGCAGCTGAGCTGACTCTAAAGACTGAAAAATTAGCAATCAGACCACTAAATCTACAAACTAGCAGAACACAGCTTAAATAGCATGAGATTTTAAAAGCAAAGGAACCCTACACTTCTTGGAATTCTTCTGATGTGCTTTAGATCCTTTTGAGGGACGAGTGCAAGTCAGCAAAATACTTCTTCCATTCTTTTTTCAAATAAATGGGTCCAATAAAAAAGCAGTCACAGGAACTGAACACTTGAAGGATCTTATCAAATATCATTGTCAGTATCATTGTTCCTCTTGCAGCTCATGAGAATAAGGTGATTTAGGACCCCACTTCAAGCTTTTAACACTCAGAAACACCTTCCCTACTTGGCTTTTAAAGTCTGCAGCTCCTCTCCCAATAGATGTCAACAAGCATGGCTGCTCCTGTCTCACAGAGAAAACTGCTGAGCTGGAAGCTGCCTAATTTCAGTCCTTTCACCAACAGCTTTCTCTGCCTATCTTGGTGTTTCCTGAACTTGCCAGTAAAATCTGTGTTTTAGAAGAGCTCTGCCTACAGCAGTTGGCTCTCTGTTAACTTTTTTTCCCTAATCCTCATTTGCCCCTCTCACACACACTGTGTGAGCAGGATGTGCCATGCAAAACTGTCCTACCAAGGCACTGGTGGCAGCAGAAAAAAGCTGATATCCTCTCCAGGTGGCTTCTAGTGCCCACCAAACTCAGTGGCATAGGGCTGTCCCCAGGCCTGAAAGGCACAGTTCACCAAGGGACACAAACTGGGCATGGATGAAGTCTGGGGGCTTACCTGGGGAAGTGCCTGTACCACTGTGTCCAGGAGAGCTCGCATTCCGGTGGCCATTTTAAGCAGTTTCAGCACTACAATGAGAATCAAATTCTGGTCAACAGGGCTGGGAAATATTTCAAGCAAAACCCACATAGGAAATTTAGCTTCAGATCTCGTAGGGAGGGTTTACATCTCATTCGCCTCTATTCGTACAGATGGCAAGCTCACTGCATCCTGGCAGGGCCTGCAGAACACCTGAACATCCTGACTACTTCCCACAGCAATTAAGGACATCAGGAAAACAGACCAAAAGCCACAAGAACTCCAGCGTGCCCTAGGAGGAAAATGAGAGAGTGATGGGGAGACACTTCATCAGTGAAAAGCATCACCTCAAGCTCTGATCCTCCCTTCTCCACGGATTCTTGCTCTTGTCTGGTATCAGTATAAAAGGTCTGTGATCCCAGGTTTGAATTAGAAACCAATCAAAGATGCCACTGGAAACACCTGTGAAACCCCACTTAGCTTGTCTCAGAATTGACATTTTGCAGCCTTGTCACCTAACTGTTCTCAAGGCAAACTTAAACAGCAGGACTAGAAGAACAAATGCCCAAACCACTTCCTGATGTGTCTGGAGACCTACAGCACAGGCCATACCTCTCGCTATCCTCAGCACCCGCATGATGCGTATTATTGTGGGATTGATGGGCAGTGCAGCATTCATCTCAATCTCCTCCAGCGTGATCCCCACAATTGACAAGAGAACTATGGCCAAATCCAGCTGATTCCACCTAACAGACAAAGAGAGGAAGGACAAAAAAAAAAAAAAATCATACACGGACAGGGACCCGAAAGTAGAGAATTATCTGTAAATAACAAGCACAAAAAAATCCCAAATGCCTCTCCTCTCTCATATCTGGTCTCATGGTCTTCTAGGTGGTACAAATTCAACTCCCTGCAGCTGGCACAAGCAGCCTCTGAGCCAAGGCTGCTGTAGGCTGTGACAGGGAAGTGTCCCTGCCTACTTCCAGTCCCCCACTGTCCCCCTGCTATCCACTTGGAGCCACTCTCAGGGACAATACACCAGGCCAGACGGACCTTTGATGTGACACAATACAGCTGCTCCCATATTATGTCACCTCTTTCTTGAATTACTCCACTTGTGTATCTCCATTGATTTTTAGCCTAACACTTGTAGAGGGTCTTCCACACCCGCACTAGAAAGACAGTAAGGTGTGAAGAAACTGAGTGTCTTTCCTATGTAATTTCCCTCACAAGTAATACTGCTCATAGCAGCTTCCAACCAACCACTCAGTCAGGACAAATGAGGCAAACAAGCTGATCTTGTGGAAAAGGTCCAACCTTACCCTGCTCCCCAGCAAGTCGCCAGACCACAACGTGCTTTTCTACACATTTGCTTCTGGCTAAATGTGAGGCAGAATAAGATAGTAGGTCTCTGCAGCTGGGATCTGAAGGCAACGGGACTGAACACAACTACCTCTGTCTGCCAAAGGCTTTACAAAGCCAGCAGTCTATCAAAGGACTGGTTTGGACTGCAAAGGAGACTTGCTCTGAGGAACTCTGTGACCTTAGATTGCCAAAACTGCTATTCGGAGGTCTGGATTGATGCTAACAGGTTGTTTCTGACCTCTAAGCCTAGCCGGTCAGACCTGGTGTAGAGGCAGATTCTGCAGGAAAGAATGTATCTAGAATTCTGTAAGATTTCCTGAATTCCTTCTGCAAAGCAATACTAGCAGTTCTTAGAATTTTTAGTTCCTGCACTATAAAGTTTGCACCCATGGAGAGACAGCCCTTTGCTCTTCCTTGCACACAGCATGTAGTACAATCATAGTAACACTGCATTTACTCAGCATCTGGCTTTAAAACTAGGTCAACACAGCTCTATCCCAAATGCACAGGAGTTTAAAATACTCTTACCTGTCCTTAAAGAACCTTCGAAAACCAAACGCCACCAACTTCAAAACTGCCTCAAACACAAAAACTATGGTGAACACATAGTTGCAGTACTTCAGGGCTTCATCCAGGGACTGAAAAGAGAGACACCAGTTAGACCAGCCCCAGCTATCCTTTCCTAGAGTCCCTGCAGAGGGACTAGCAGGCACGAGGGTGGCATATGCACAGAGATGCAAGAAGTAAAGTCCTAATAGTCTGCAGAGCTCAGTTACAAAACTGCACTAAATCACACAGCAAAACTCAAATAAAGGATTAGACACTGATGCAAACAAAAGCCTCATAAGAACTAATACTAGTTGTGCTAAAAATGTGAAGAGCTATCAATCCTCCAACTTCAGTGCACAAATTGTTCAGTCTGGGTCAAAGAGAAAATTTTACCCCTTCTCCATCTAGTAAAGTTTACTTCTTCTGAACTGCCTAGCCTTGGGTAGAATAAAACACTTGATGGATCATCTCTTTATTCCAGTGTGGCAAACCTTAGGACAACGACTTTGCTTAAAACACTCAGAAAAATAAATAACGTTGGAAATGGATTTAATCTTGCCTTCTTGAAAAATGTTCCATCTCTAGAGCTGGGCAAAGTATGTCCATATTTGGTGCAATGTTCACGCTCTCTATAGAGCTGCTCTCGGAAGTCAGGAATCTGCAGAGTTTATACTTTAAGATGATGAGTGTTTATAATGGATTTCATTGGAGCTGGAGGCCAACAATAGCAAAAGAATCTTGCTGGGACCTTAAAATAGATAGTTGCAGAGTGAAACAGCTCTTTGGTTGCGTAGGGATTTGTGGAGAGGAGGGAAGGGGAATTTAGCTGAATGTAGTATAGGTCTCTTACAGCTAGAAAATGACAATAATCAGCATCAAAACAGACACAATTGGAAATAAAATGCAATAGAGGATTCTGCAAAGCAATGTCTGCTTTGTTCACAGAGGAAGCCTCAGGCCACAGGAAAGCGCTCCTCATCACATTTGTGTGATGACTGCTTTGTTGACCCCAGATATGTGGGATGATCATGCACTGATTTTTTTGGGAACAAGACCTGAAAATGTTTTAGATGTTGGCATTCCTCAGTGCACTACTATAACTATTTTTGTTCCAGTGCCTAAAATAAAATGGCAACTTAAAAGAATGTGGGACAATTTACTATTCCATCTCAAGCACACTGCCTGAGCCTGAATTCTCATATAATTGGTGATGTTTTGCATTCAGATTTAAAGCACTGTGTTCTACATGAACATAAAACAAGTATAAATAAGACCTAATCTGTATAAATAACATTTGCATGCAAAACAATGGCTGTTATGCAAAGGAATTATGGGGGCAGAACAGCACACAGTCAGCTGGCGTAAAACACACAGGCGTTACCCTGTGGCTTGGTGCCCTCTGGCTTAGCTTCCAGGAGGCATTTGCAGGTTACCTGGCAGATCATTCAATACTAGAAAAGTAAACACTGAGCCTAGAGCTCTGTGAATGATAATGCAATGGAAGATTAATATACGTGGCAAATGGACTGTATGATTTATGCCAAGGGTGTTCTTGGGAAAGAACGATTTTATGATACATAAAGAAAAAAAAGGGTTGTAGTTAAAAGTTGGTTTATTCTAAATTCATTGAGGAAAAGAAACGTTGCTCTGCATGCATTAACTTCATGTTTGTATCTGTTAGTGGAATGTTCTAAAACTCTGGACTGTTTTACAGTTTAAGAGTCAGTCATGTCTGGGATCAGGAGAGGAAATATTTGGACTGGTCTTTTCCTAGTAAAAATTCACTTCACTCTCCATTAGCCTTATTCTCTGTCTTTTTTACACAAGAGCAGGAAAATCAAGCTTTTGGTCGAGGCAAGCGACTCATGAATGATAGAGCTGGCCTAGAGTTAGACAGGTTGCGATGCTGAGTCTGGAGCTGCTGAGGCTTTCAAACACCAGTGAATGGTTCCAGGGAAGCAGGGCTGGCTGCAGACCTCACTGGTCAACAGCATCCCAAGGGAACAGGGTACAGTCCTCAGGTCCTCTGCTACACCATGCTTCTGTGTTTCACAGCCAACACATTGATGGGTGACTTTACCTTTGGCTGGTTGTAGTGCTCCATCGACATAGTGATGACATTGACCCCAATGATGAACGTGATGAAGAGGTCGAGATAGTGGCTGGTGCAGAGGGTATGAATGTACTTCCGTGCCGGGGAATAGTCAGCGTAGTAAGGCCTGCGCTGGGCTTCTGCAGGAAAAAACAAAGAAAGGCAACGCAGTGAACGCAGGCCCTGCTGCATGGTTGGCAGCCATCATAACACGGCCTGTGGGTCGTGTCTTACACATGCCCAGATTCAGCCTGTGGGAGAGCTGATTCAAGCAAGCCATGTGAAATGGCCAAATGCTTCTACCTAGAACCTTCAAGAACCACAGTGAGGTTATCAGGCTCAGCCAAACGTCTTGTGCCTGCAGAAGGGACCTCTACAGCTTTGACAACCAGGCCTGTTTTTCTCCCAAGTGGTCTCTGTTCTTAGTGCTCTTCTCTCAGGCTAGAGGACAGACAACATTTTCACTTAATGGGACTCTTGTCACAAACCAGAAAGGGTGAGAAGAAGGATGGAAATGTGACCCAAAGCCAAGAGAAAAGCTTCAAACCCAGCAAAGCTTCAACTCCAGTTTAGACAAAAGGCTTAAGGTAAGTCTCATTGGTCTGAACTCTGATGTATAACTCTCCTAATCCTGCTGATGTCAGGAATGTTCCGCTAAGAGAAGAACATAACCTGAGCTTAGCTTCTGTGAGAGAAGGCTTTTGGTGCATTTTAAATGTCTAAAGAAAACATAGTGATGCTTGTGGCAAAGAAGGACACATGCGTGAGGGTTAGTAGCACATGGGAGAGCATCAACAGCAATGGCACTTGGCATTTGTCTCTACAAAGACTACCAGCACAAGCTCCTCTGGAAATATAAACAATTGCAAGGGCATGGTTGCATCTAAAAAGCCATTCAGGCTATGAGCACATGAATTTTATATTTCTGCCTCTGGTCATGACTCCTCCTTTCTTCTCTTTGAAATGGGGAAATTTCTGCACATGACCAAGTTCCCAGGGCTGTTCCAAATAGAGTGTTTGGACACTGCCCCACAACAGAGTTGTATTTACTGCATGTGTCTCTCCTAAATTAGACTGTGACCACAAGATGGCTGTGGACACTCAGATGGAGTCAATTTTCTTTCAAACTTAAGAAATGTAAATATTCAAAGAGTGTACTTAAGGCCAAAGTCAGCATTACTGTAGATTTTGCAAGTGGAAGAGACATGTTAGGTCATACTAAGTCAGAGCAGTATTGTTCTTAACAGAGGGTTTTTTTGCAAATGCTTCAGCAAATTCAGCTTTAAATGCATGAGGAGCTGGGAAAAAAAGAGTTGCTTCACCTTAAAAATCAGGAGGGAAATAAGTTCAAAAGTACTCTGTGGCCTCATGAAATACATCTTCCACTCCTCTTCTTTTGCTAATATCTTTCAGATGGAGTGGAGTGACTCTTGAAATGTGGTGGGTTTTTTTTTTGTTTTTTTTTTTGTAGTGCAACTGATGCCAGATTAGAGTCCAAAACCCTAAAATAAATTGGATAAAGGGAAACTGAATCTGTTACTCTCTTTCAACTACTATTTCTTCCGGTACTTAAAAGTGGAGTGGAAGCATTTGAAAAACATTTCCTTCTGACCAGGGTCACCTAGACTTATTTTTTCTGCTAATGGGTGTGGAAAAACAAGATGAAAGCAAGGACAATTGTTTTTCAACACATTTTTCTGTTGCTTTCATGTGCTTTAGTCCTACCAGTCATCTTGGACTGGTAAGGCTGTCTTTGCTACTGAGCTCCGAAAATCTTCCGATGTGCCTAAAAAATAATAACAACATTGCATTTAAGTTTGTACAATTTGCTTTCATGTGCATTTAGGATTACGACAGACTTTTTAAAAAAACAAAATCTTTTTGGGAATGAAAAAAAATCAGCTTGTAGCGAGGTCTGAGATTACTCCAAATAGTCAAGCATCCATTAAGGGACTATTTATTAATGACTAATCATTGATTAATGGATTTCAGAACAACACTTGCAGAGCTGGGCAGTGTGTGAACACACTGGCTAGTCTGTACACTCGGTCAGTGCTCAGCACTGACTATGCCTGGTCAACTGGTTGCTCAGGAAACTTGGGACAGGTTTAACTTGACTTGGGATGAGGGAGCTCTAGGAAATGCCCCGCTCATTTAGGATGCACTACACCCCTGAAGCCATGTTAACAGATGAAAAAGAAACTTCTGTGGGGACACATACATGGACAGTCTGGCATAAAGTTGGCAACATTTTGAAACACATGCAACGACACTGCCATGCTCAGTGCAGCAACCATGCAATGTCCATTAGAGGAGATACTGCTCATGCGAGGCTAACGGTAGTGACAGGGGGGAAGGACAGGCCAGCTTCTGCTCTTGGCAATGCTGGTGTTGGGTCAGGACAATCCTATGAAGGCAGAGGGGTTGCAGCAGGGTGAAAGCAGTGAGAAATCAGCCACACAGCTTCACTGCAGCTCTGACCCCCTCTGAGCAGGGGGGAGGCTGTGTTTCAGAGCTCCAAGGCCCCCAGCTCCGCTGGGTCACTGTTCGTTCCCACTCCCTTTAGGAACAGAAGTTTTACTTCAGTCAACAGCACAGCAAGTGGCTCTGGCCTCCCTTCAGTTCGGACACATATTTTTACCTCTTAGTGAGAATATACTATGTTATTCTCCCCAGTTTTGGTCTAAGTGTTCACAGCACATACGTATTGCTACAGCCTGCTCAACCAGAGACATGGTGTCTGCAGGAAAACCTGCGTGAGGAGAACCACGGACCATGGGGATGTGGGCACAGCAAACAGGGGAGATCTAATGCATCATTAATCACAGTAGGCAAAACGCAACCTGTGCCTGGTTTCTCCAGGGAAATGGTTTCTGGGATGAGACTCCAACCAGCCAACTAGCAGACTTGTATCAGACACAGACAAATATCCCTTCAGCTGCAGCTGATGGTTTGAATTGGTGGAAATGCAGGAGGGAAAGGAGAAACCATCAAACATATGCAAAAGGAAAACCACAGTCCTTTCTCGCCCCCACTTCTAGATGTTGGCTAATGTTTGAATCTCACCTCTCTGCAGAGTATTTAAACTTCTTTGCTTGTGATTCTGCTGATGTGAAAATTAATGAAGCACTGTCTCCTAGCTTAAAAGCATTTAGGTTGGCATTACAATTGCTAGCTACAGCTCCTCCATTATTCTCCTCTGCATGAAACATTAGAAAGCCCTAATGGGTTTATATGCATGCTTGGCACAAAGTAGCTCTATACCTGCAGCTGCCTGGAAAAATAAGCAAGATCATTTGATAATTCCCTAGCTGGAAATACTAAACACTCAGATACGTGGTGCCCAAAATTTTAGTTACAGCTCAAATGTTTCTGCTGAATAGAGAGATGGTTGTTGCACTGAGAGGATGGACTGATTTAAATACCACTGTGTGCTGCCCACGATCGCTCACCCCTAGAGAGAAAGGTTTACAGTCAGTGCTTTGAAAGGCATCTCTGCTGGGTCTTAAAAGAAAACTGGCCTCTTCCTTCTACAATGCCCAGACACTGAGCTCTGTGTTGGGAAATGCCTCAAGGGGAACACGGCTGTGGCCACACTTCTCTTGTACCGAGTGGAAATCAGGAAAAAGCATTTCCTTTTCCAAGTTCTCAGTTTTTGGGGTCTTCCCAAGGACTAGCGACTTGGTTACACTACTGTAAAGGCACTCGCTGCTCCCCAGCTCTGGGCTCCCTAGGCTGTTAGGCATTTCCAGCTTTCCCAGCGTTGCCTGCAGTGCTTTCAGTACACAGTGTCACCCACTCCCCGCCCGCAGCCTTTGAAGCTCAGAGCACTGCCTGCATTTGACCTGACCTCACGCTCTGCTCACTGGGCCAACAGCTGCTGGCTTCATGGCAGATACGGGCGGGTTGGATTTGGCCCCATATCCTGAACACAGAGGAGATCAAGCCAATCCATGTGGTTTTACTTGAAAACTTTAATCTGGGGAGGCTGGTTTCGGTCTGTGTCTTCTGAGAACCTCATTAAAAGGTTAGGAGCTGCAGGATTATTAAATTACACTACACTTATTTACATAGTAGATATAGTGGATGGAGGTAGTGACTGTGTCAGAAAAATATTCTAGTTTATCTTGAAGTTCTACCTTCACATGAAAAAGTATGCTGGGCAGTTCTGTCTTTAAAACCACATCAAATGCATTTCTGTGGGGTATTCAACCCCCTGCCCTCTTTTCTCTTGTGAGCAGAGTTAACGGTCAAACCCAGGGCCTTCTTTCAGGGCTGGCCCTGGTCTCAGCTAAGTTTATTGCAGCCCAGTCATGAAGGCTGGGCCTTAAGGCCGCTGCTGCTGTCATGGTGGCAGCACCTCGCTGATACTTTGGGCCCAAGTGTTCCATTGCTGGTGCCTTGAGGGATGCTTGTCACAGCAGCAGAGAGAGTCAAGGCATGATGACAAGGGTGTGGGGTGCCACCTTGTGCCAGTCCCTTCCTCAAAGTGGCTCTCAGTTGGGGAACAAGAATCTTTTTGGAAAGGTCTGAGGTGGTGTCTGATAGCAGAGATGTGGGCTGAGATGGACCTTCCTGACGGACTCCTGAGAGGCCTAAAAAGTACCCCCAGACAGATATGTAATAATTCCTCACCCCACCTGCATGAGGTCTGATAAGGAGCTGTGTCCTGCTGCAGGGCTGTGTCCTCCACGGAGCAATCCCTCTGCCAGGCTCACAGCTCTGCATGCAGGGTCCAAATCCTGGAACCAGGCTGCAGAGCCTGGGATTTGTACCCAGGGCCTGCTTGGATGGGACTGTCCAGACATAAACTGAGGCTAACCCATTTCTAAGCCTGAGCCCAAGTCTACTACAGCTCAACAGTGCGTTTCTGTGTGTATAGGTACCTACAGATGCTCAAAGACTTCAATACACAGAAACACACATGGGGTTGCTGCACACAAGGACATTAGAGACAGGAGACAAAGACAAGATGCCAGGCAGACAAGGCAAGTCCAGATGGATGGGCGTTGCTCAAATAGTAAGTACATCTGTTAGCTGTGCTGGATTTTACTCTTGTTAACAGCCCTAATACTTCCTCCTCTTTTGGTTTCTTCAGGTCAAAGACTAGAAATGGCAGCTGAAAGAAAAACAGGGCTCTCTGCTAGACTTCCCACATAGGCTCCTTGCTTCTCCGCAGAACTGCTGGTCTTGTGTGCCCATCCTGCCCCGTGGCGCCTGGCCTCTCACCCGCTCCTCCGTGTGGGTGAGACACATAGCGCTGGGGTGAGTGGAAAGCTGGCCAGCCCGCTGTCACAGTGCAGCATCCCACGCCTGCATGTGCACACAGACCCTCCCTTCCCCACAGACTCTGCCATGCATGGCACCAACCACATCTCACATCTTTCTGAGTCTGCCACATTTTTTTTACCAAATCCATCATCTTCTAAATTACCCAGGAGGTGAAAACTCCTCCCATTTAAATTAAAAAAAAAATCATCCATTAAAATGTAAATAGTAATCTTTCAAAATATGTATCAGTTATTTGATTTCACCTTGACAACTCAAATTTGGATGCCAAGCTGTCCCTGCTGAACAGAGGTAGGTAGATCTCAGAGCCAGACACTCTGAGGTCACCTCCTGGAAGCCCAGCACATGGCCAAACGTTTAGCCTCTCAGTTGCTATATTGGACTTGATCGCCTTCCAGAAAGCTGTCCTCCTCCCTGCTCACTCTCAGTGAAATGTTACAACCCACAACTGTGCAATGCCTAAGTCTGCCATCTGAAATATCTCCTTGACTCTATCCTTCGAGATAACTGGATAAAGAGGGGCAATATAACAGTGTCCATCACTTTGACAGGGACTGGCTCTTTTTGGTGTCTAGGCAGCAAGCCGCAGACAGGTTTGTAATAAGATTTATTTACTAATCAGGAACAGCAACTGGCTGTGGTTAAACTATCCCTTCTTACCTGTTCCCCAGTCTATTTTCTCTAAGGATGCTTAATGTTCTTTGTAAATAGGCTTATTGTTAACTTTTAAGTTTATCAGAATGTCTTCTTGGATCAGCACACTGGAGCAGAAATACTGCACAAGCAGGAGGACTCTTAAGCCCTGAAACCGATTTCTCTTACTGTGCTGGAAATGCTGCCTTCAGGATTTCCACTTTTAATCCTAGCTGGAACCTCAAATTCAAAAACCAAAATGGGAAAAGGGAAATTAAATTGCATTTGAACTCTTCTAAATCTCTGAAGAGATTCAACGTCAGTTTGAGGCTGGCTAGTTTGATCTAGATTTCATTTTAATCCAGCTACTTCACTCACAACTAGCTAAAATGAAATGGGCTTGGCCTTCACTGTGGTGTCAGGTCAGTCTGTTGTTAAGGCCCTGTGGAGACCATGGTGCAGACATTTAGTGCTGCGGTCTCCCATGGCTCTAATGAAGTAGACCATAAGAGCAGGAGAGGAGCTGCAAGAGATATAGCTGCTTGTCTTCTGTCTCAAGTGTGCAGGGATGGAGGAAACTGGCTGGGGTTCCTTCTACCAAAGCCTCTGACTGCTACGTCCATAGAGCCAGACAAAAGACTATTTGATCTAACTGCAGTTTTCCCAGCTGAAAATGGATACCTATGGCTTGACGTTTGGGAGACAACTAGCTATTTGTCACAAAGAGGTATCAGGTCCTTACAGGAGATTACACAGGGCAGCACAGTACTAGGCAAAGAGCCACAGGACTGCTGCAGCAAGCAGGGCCAGAAGCACTCAAACCTTATTCCTGACTAAGCTCATCTTTGATTGCAGTGGTCAAGCTGTATTCTCTCATTTACTTCTAAAAAATGCTTGCCAGCACCTAATGCAGGCTATCTCTGTTCACTAAAACTGGCTGGGAAGTTGATGTGGCTGGTTTCCTGGCAGTTTCCCTGGGAATACCCAGCAGATGTTATAGGCAGCTTGTTCCTGACAGAGCCTGCCAAGGAGCAGTGAAGGTGAGAATTAATACATGAGAACCCCTGGGAAGGAGATCAGGAAAGAAGCAGAAGCTCAGGTGTTTTTCTGCTCTGGCTTGATAGTCACTACTAGATCCACTCAGAAGCAGATATCAGCTAAAGGCCTTTTCTTGCACTCTAATAGCCCCGTGTGTATTGGCCAGTATATGGCCAGTATTTTCATGTTGACTTTGCAAGGACAAACCGAGTCCCAGCACATTGCTCAGCAGTGAAGGGCTCCCCCAGCCTCTGATGAGGCAAGCATCTCTTGTAATGGACATCTTCCAGAGAAGAATTTTCTGGACAGCCCCATCTTGGGGCTCCATTCCTCTCCCCAGGGCTGTCAGTTCGTTCATGTCCTCATGCAGCATGTTTGTGGCATGCGGGGCCATGCGCTAGGACTCTAAAAAGCATCACAATTATTTTGTCTGAGAAAAGAATTAATAAATCAAACCATCACCATCATCAGATGCAAGCGGCACATTAAGCCAAGGGGCTACCCTTGGGACTGGCCTTCACACACACAATAAGCATTGCAGCTGTTTACTGCGTCCCTCAGTCACACCACGAGCTCCTGCTTGGTGTTTGGGACACCTGTGCCTTGCAGAGCGTGACAGAGGACTATGCTTGGAGGAGGATTTGCTCCCCAGCCAAGTAAACAGGTAATGCTTTACATCAGGCTTGTAGAGGACAATTCCAGGGTGTTGGCAACCCAAGACTTAAGGTACCGCCAAAGAGGTAACGAAGCAAAACAGCCTCTTGAATCCCATGGAAACAAAACCAAAGGAAAATGAAAGTCTTGCTTTGGGAGCAGGCAGGGCTCAGAAAGATTTTGGTTTGTAACGCAGTCTACCGACCAGACAGGTATATCTCCTTACTCCTGCGCTTTTTCTCCAAGCGTCTCAGCCGCTTCTCCTCCCGCCGCCGGGCCTCCTCTGCCTCCTGGTGCTGTCGGCACTTGTGAAAGTTCTCCACCACCACCCCCACAAACATGTTGAGCACGAAGAAGCTGACGATGAGCAGGAAGGAGATGAAGTAGAGAAGCATCCAAGGGTTATGGTTCTGGATGGGCTGGTGAGGTGGGGAATTAAAAAACAAGAGAGAAGTAGCACAGATAAGATGTGTGTAAGCCAGAATATTGGGCATTCTGTCACAAGAAGACAACACTATACACTTTTGTGGGAAGGAGGAGAGGGTTGGGAGGAGTTAGGAGATTTTTCCCAAAACAGTTTCTTCTAATTCATTTTCTCACTGACTAGAATTTTACTTCTGCTGTGAAACCCACCCTAGCCTCCACAATTTGGCTTACAGGATTTAATTACTTTGGCACTTATTTCATACAGCCTAAAATAAATCTCAGTGGAAGTGCATCATCCCACCTGCAAGATCATTTTAGTCAAAAATAGGCTCCAGCTTATTTTTTGAGACTTATGCTCATGGTTAATGTTTCTCAGTTGTTACAGGATCTTCAGAAGCAGGAGAAAATTTAAGTATGAAGTGTTACTGTAGCTACAATAGGGTATTACTCATCTAAGACTCTTGACTTTCCTTTGCAAATGCCACGTAGCACACAAACTTCATGTCTCTTTCACAACATTACTGGTTGCTTCCCATCTTGTGAGTTTGCTCATATTTATCACACCTTCCATGAAGCTGCAGTGCAATGGCACTCCTCACGTACCTAATCACGCTAAAAGCTCCATCACTGCTTGTTTGTGTACTACACGGGGCGCAGTCACCGTAAAAGCTACTCAGTGGAGAAGGGAGAACCTTGGCAGCCCAGTGGGCAGTTGGGACCTCAAGGGGGTCCTGTAGCTCTGCTCCTTCCTGGGACTTCAAAACCACCAGTCACCCAGGCATGAGACTTCTGAGAGTGACACATGTAGCCTGGGCAGTACATTTACCTGTTGGTCAATACCCACGGCATCCAAACCGTCATACATGATATTCACCCAACCATCTTTGGAGGAGAGGACAAACAAGGACATGAGGGCCTATAAGCAAGCAAACAAACAGGAAAGATTGGTCTTGCACTTTAGTCCTCAGAAAAGAAACTAACAACAGACAGTGCTCAGCAAAACCAATCCACAGCTCAGAACACATCATCTTGCCCGGAGCTGGTGGAGAAATGCAACATATTGTGGCTTGCTTTTACCTATTTCTGTATCTGGCTTAAAAGTGAGCAAACTATAGTCAGTAGTACTCCTTTTCCCTCACATATAGGCTTACTTTTGCTCAGATACATCAGGCTTTCTCATCACCAAAGCATGATTAAAATCAGTGTCAGGCTGGCACAATGTCATGGGGTTTAAAAAGCAGTCATACACCCCAGCTCCTACTATGGGCTCTCTTGCTTCTTGGTCAGTATAAAGGACCTTATTTTTTTCATTTGCAAACAGAACAGCTAGAAGTCAAGAGTGACAGCTGAGGTCCATACATGAGGGACTACATGCAAAAGCAGTGTCTTTAAGTCAGTGCTGTCCTACAAACAAGGAATTGTATATCCCTAGGAAGTCTGGCTGCAAGAGATCAATAGGTGACCTGATCCATTTTTACCCAATGAGAGTTGCTTCTGACAGATGAATGCCTACATTGTTCTTCTAAACTTGCTATGCTGGAGGTTCCACATGCTCTTCAAGGAACGCATTTTAAGTGCTCATTGTTTAAAACCTGGTACAGAAAATCCCTGCAATACAGAAAATCCCTGCAATGAGGACTTTACCTGTCCCAAATTGTCAAAATTGTACTTCCGCCGAACCCACTTGTAGCGTGCGTTAGTGCAGTCAGTCTTTGTAGTGATGTTTTTTATATCAGGACCATCACAGTAGTAGAACTTGCCTTTAAAAAGCTGTATTTGAGAAGCAACAAAAAAAGAAAAAACAAAGAAGAAGCTTTGAAAAGTCTGTCCTCTGATTTATCTTTCTTCCCCCCAGCAGAGTTGCTTGCCAAGTTCAAATACATAGAACAGAATCACAGAATCATTTTGGTTGGAAAGGGCCATTAAGACTGAGTCCAACCATTAACCTAACGCTGGCAAGTCCACCACTAAACCATGTCCCTAAGCACCATGTCTACATGTCTTCTAAATACCTGCAGGGATGGTGACTCCACCACTCCCCTGGGCAGCCTGTTGCAATGTTTGACAACCCTTTTGGTGAAGAAATTTTTCCGGATATCCAATCTAAACCTCCCCTGGTGCAACCTCTTGTCTTGTTGCTTGTTACCTGGGAGAAGAGACTGACACCCACCTCACTACAGCCTCCTTTCAGGTAGTTGTAGAGAGTGGTAAGGTCTCCTCTGAGACTCCTCTTCTCCAGACTGAACAACCCCAGTTCCCTCACCTGCTCCTCACAGGATTTGTGCTCCAGACCCTTCACCAGCTTCGTTGCACTTCTTTGGACATGCTCCATCACCTCAATGTCTTGTGTGCCCTAGTCCTGCTGGCCACACTCTTTCTGATACAAGCCAGGATGCTATTTGCCTTCTTGGCCACCTGGGCACACTGCTGGCTCATATTCAGGTGGCTGTTGACCAACACCCCAGGTCCTTTTCTGCCAGGCAGCTTTCCAGCCACTCTTCCCCAAGCCTGTAGCGTTGCGTGGGGATGTTATGACCCAAGCGCAGACACCACCCAACTTGGTCGTGTCTGCAAGCTTACTGAGGGGGCACTTGATCTCCTCATCCAGATGGTTGATAAAGATATTAAACAGAGATGGTTCCAGTACCGAGCCCTGGGGAACACCTCTTGTGACCAGCTTCCAACTGGACTTAACTCCATTCACCACAACTATTTGGGTTTGGCCATCCAGTCAGTTTTTTATCCAGTGAAGAGTACACCCATCCAAGCCACGAGCAGCCAGTTTCTCCAGAAGAATGCTGTGGGTAACTGTGACAAAGGCTTTACTAAAGTCCAGGTAAACAACATTCACAGCCTCTCCCTCCCTCATCCACTAAGCAGGTCACCTCGTCATGGAAGATCAGGTTAGTCAAGCAGAACCCACCTTTCATAAACCTTTGCTGACTGGGCCTGATTGCCTGGTTGTCCTGTACGTGCCACGTGATGACACTCAAGATGATCTTCTCCATAACTTTCTCTGGCACCAAGGTCAGGCTGACAGGCCTGCAGTTCCCCAGATCCTCCTTCTGGTCTATCTTATAGATGGGTGTCACATTTGCTAACCTCCAGTCGACTGGGACCTCCCTCCTACCAGTGGCCTGTTCCTTCTTCCAAAGGTCATAAACAATCTTTTTTTCCTGAGTTCCAGTCAAAACTCTCAGTTCAGCCAGGCTGGTCTTCTTTCCTGTCCAGCCTTCCTGGACTCCTTTGCCTTTTGGGACCACCTCTCAAGGGACTCTGTCAACCAGTGTCCTAAACAGGCCAATGTCTGTCCTTTAGCAGTCAATAACCCATGTCTTTGCTGTCACATGGCTCTCCATCCCCTACCTCCACTGAGATGGCAGACAGAAGGACCTTGCTAGCACACCATCCCTCAAACACTGGCATGCTGCCTCCAGGCTTATCTCTAGTGAACCTGTTTTTAATCCCTTCCCCCATTCAAATCTAGTTTAAAACTCTTTCAGTGAGCCCACTAGCTCCTGCAGAAAGATCCTTTTCCTCCTTTGAGACGTCTGTCACCAGGATGCCTGCCATTGTGTAAAATGACCCATGATCAAAACCCCCCAAATTTTGATGGTAACACCAGGCTTGAAGCCACATATTGATCTGCTGGCTCTTCTTTTTTCTTCCTTCATCATTCCCGGCAACTGGAAGGATAGAGGAGAATACCACCTGTGCTCCTGAGCCCTTAACCAGTCATCCCAATCTCCCAAGAGATACTTATCTCTTGATTTCCCTTGGACTTCTAGTGCACCTTCATTGCTGCCTACCTGAAAGATCAATAATGGATAGTAATCTGAGGGCTGTACCAGGGTAGGAAGCTTTCCCTTCACATCTTTAACGCGGGCCCAAGGAAGCGGCAGACTTCCCTAAGAAGTGGGCCTGGTCTGCATACTGGGCCTCTGTTCCCCTCAGGAGAGTCTCCTATGACAACAAGAAATCTTTTTTTTTCTTTATGGAAGTGGTTTTGACACAAGGCATAGACGGATTTAACCTTGGTGTCCCTTCCAAGCTTGTCCTCATCATTGTCCAGTTCCACTTGCAGAGCCTCACACCTATTTTGTAAGGGCACCTGGGAAGGTGGGGTGGTCTCAGAGGAAACGCGCCTGCTACGCCGAGCAAGAACTTGTTGCCATTTTCCCCTGTTCCTTGAGTCACTGCGTTCAGTCAGTTGGAGAGAGGACAGGGAATCCTCAGTATCGTGTGTCCTGTCTGTCTGTCGGGCCTTGCAGCTCCTGCCTGTCTTAACACACATGGCAGGAAAACACCTCTAGTGAAACTTCAGGCTCTGAGACGTTGTTGTGTATTGCCTCAGACACAGAATGAAGGTGATGCTGCAGGTCTGCCCTGCCTTGTTCAGAGGATGACCATCTCCCCTCTGAGGAAGAGATATTAAATACATCCTAGAACATAAAGCCAGGAGGGATCTTGGGAATTTGTCTTTTCCTTCTCCTACCATCAGGCAGGCTTAGTTGGTGCTGTGTTGTTCATCAGGGAGGTCTGCTCTTCTAAACCTGAGGACCTTCTAATGAGCAGATGCCGACCCCAACCCAGAGCACGTCTTTTAGGGCCTGGCTCTTTTTCTATAACATCTAACTGAAATTGACCTTTGGAGACGCTTAAGCTTATTACTTCCACGTTAACCCCAGGTGGTGAGAAAAACAGCTTCTCTCTTGCAGCAGTCACTTACAGATGGCCATAGTGAGGGAAATACTCTACCTGGACCCCTAAAATTCCAAAGATAATGAAGAAAGCACAGCAGATGAGAACAATATTCCCAATAGGCCTCAAGGAGGAGATCAAGGTTTCTACCACCAGCTTCAGACCCGGGGCTCTGCTGATGACTCTGGAAAAAATGGCAAAACAATCAAGCTTTTAATTTTTATGCATGCCCTGTTATTATATGGTTGCTTTTCCTCCTTGGCTTGGGCTGCAGTAAAGCTAACACAACGCTCCTCTACCTGCAGGCAGCATTCAGAGATGATTAGTGACTTATTTGGACAACCAGAACACTCACAGTCACATTAGATGGAATTAAAAAAGCGTAAAAACACTGTCAGAAGGGGGTTGGGCAATTGCTTACTAGTAACAATGAGGTGGGAATAATCTCTATGGGCAGAATATCACAGAGGTTCCCACTACAGGGCTATTTGTACCTCAGACCAGAGAGCTGACGCCCTCTGAGGTCTCTCCAAGCAGAAGGGCACACACCAGGCAGGAGCCTGCTTCCTAACACAACACAGGTAAACAGCTTCACAGTGGTACTAGAGAGCATGTCTTCTCCTCTTTCTACAGGCATAAGAGCTCACCCGCCCTGCTGGCCTGGGCCCCATGACAACTTTTCAAACAAAGCAATTTCAATCTGTTTCCTAATTAGTTCCTGAACTGACTCTCAGCTAACAGGAACTTGTGATCAACAGCTCCACGGCCAAAGGGTCATCCCATTAAAGAGCAACTTGCTTGCTTGCTGGCTGTGAGAGGCCAGGCATGCTCTAAGCACAGCCTGAAACAGCTTTTAGGTGTTATGGAGAACAAGTGTTTGGCTTTCCTATACGAGTGCTTGGAGAATGGCTCTCCCATGGGTGCCTGAAAAATGCGTTTGCACACATAAGTGTAACTAGCCCAAGCAAGCTTTTCTGGGAAGGCAGGTGTTTTGACTGAAGAACATCAAAGCTTTTTTAGGAGGGGCCTGTAGAGGGGAGAGGGTATGAGTCCTTGCAGGTAGCTTGAGCTTGCACAGCTAATAATGCTTTCATGCCTGCCAAACACAGAGAAAAGAGGAGAGTTATATCCTGCAGGGACAAAGCATTTCAATAGGGTCTTGTTTGGCAGCAAATAATATGGCAGTTTAAACTGTACCTAAAAAGTGTTAGGAATGGTCTCTGGAGTAATCTTAGATGAGGCTGTGATAAGTGAAGCCGTCATGAGAGGTGATGAATTCCTCTCTATTAATAGGATCTGGCTCAGTTACTCTCCAAGACCAATTCTCTTTTTTTTCTCTCCTTATGTTTACTTATGAATTAGCTATGCCTTGATTTCTGTTCCTAGTTATGTGTGTTAGATAGGTGCCCCGTGGCACTGCCAGGCCAAGGCTTGTCCAGGGTGACCCAGCGTGGCTCGGGGTGAGCCAGCACTGCAAGGGGACCCTGATGCCACCAGTAGAACAGAGATTGGGAGAAGGAAAGGAGACAGAAACACTCACAAAGTTGCCTGTCACTCAAGAAATAATACGGAGTAGACAAATAACTGTTGTTCTTGTGGTCACGGGCCTAAACAAGACTGACTCTTCCTATTACTCTCATAAGCAAGCAGCTTCTCATCAGAAAGCCTACAGGTCTCTGGAGGTGCCTATCTTATTTCCCCTGAAATTTCATGAAAAAAAGCTCATGTTCCTTGCCAAGCAGGATGAAAATAGAACAGGAGTCGTGAGCTGATAAAAATCCCCCAAGCATTAACACTCTGTTATTGCATAATCATAAACAAAATACAAATTCTCTTTATTTCTCTTCTCAAATACTCAAAGTGTCTCCCCTTCCTCCTCCTAGCTAAGAGCTAAATTGTTTTTCAGCCATGTTAGATAGGCAGGTACAGGAGAGCAGGTATAGATGCTGGAGCTTATCAAATTATTGTCAGCACCTGTTCAATTGCAAATTTTCTCCCAGTCAACACAACCTCTTTGCTTAGGAATGACTCTGAGCTTGTGCAGTTTAACAAGGAGCCAGACGGATTTGTAAAATGGTGATAAAAATGCAGTGTGAAGGAGGCATTCGCTGCACTAACAGCCTGAGTATGATAACACCTCTCATCCCAAACTCCATCCACTCTTCCGTGCGGAGAAGATGATTTATAACTAATTTCACTGCTTTCAAACAGTTTCACTAGATAAGAGCTCCCCAAAGATGATTCTACCCATACTGTGTTTTTGCTTTTTGTGTTATTAAGCAAGACCTTAATGGATCATTTGCATTTTTTCAAACTTCTTGATCTATCAACACGAAGAAAACTCAGTGACGCTATTGAACATACCGGAGAGGTCTCAAGGTCCGCAGAAGTCTCAAAACACGAAGGACACCCAGGATCTTTGCTCCACCTGCTGATGCCATGGAGACAATAATGTCAATGATAGATACAAAGACCAGGACTCCATCCAGGACATTCCAGCTGCTCTGCAGATAGGTGTTCTCCCCAGAGAAAAAGCCAAGAGCTACCACCTACAGGCAGGAGAAGAGAGACATTTAAATCTTCACCCAGATCATAACTAGGTCATGTTCTGGTCTTTGCCAGGCCTTACTAAGGGCCATGGCATAAAGATGTAATTACCTTAACCATCATTTCAGCCACAAAGATTGCAGTGAAAATGTAATTAGAAACACTTAGGAATATCCTTTCCTGTAAAACATAGAACAACAACAAGAGACATGTTATTTAAAGATGTTAGAAAACAAACTTCTTTCATCTTGCAGGGTCTTGCATCAAGAAAGAAGGTGCCACATCGAGGAAGAAAATGACTCAGGTACTCACTGTGCTGTGTGGGTCTATGTCTGGTCGCTCCAGTGCTATAGTGATGCAGTTAAGAAATATGAAAACCAGCACCACGTGGTCAAACATTTTGTGAGCAATGACCTTCTGGCACATCACTCGGAACCTGAATAAATGGTGGGGAGAGAAATATCCTTCAGATATTTAGGTCAGCAAGAGACTCCCAACCAAATGGCACATCTTTGGAAGTCTTTAGTAGTTGTGCCACCAGCATCTGCCCAGGTGGTGAGCTAGTCTCTCCACAAGCTTCAGCCATTATTATCAATGCAGTAAACAAGAGGTAGTAACAGCTACTATCAATGCTGGTTAAACCACCCTTTGTCCTAGACAGGCATGGAGTGAACCATGCAACAATTCTGCCCATGTTTAACAGAAAAAGTTACCTAAAAATCAGGAACTGGATTTCTAAAACTCTCAGTGCTTCTGCATCAGAGAGGGATTTTTCTCAAGAGAAGGCTAGCTAGAAATGTAGTATTCCTTTACTACAGAAACCTGGTGGGCTGGCATTTCACTGGGATTTCTTACCGATTCTGTGGGGAAAACAAGTAGAGGGACCAGTCTTCATGACTCTTGCACCACTGTGGTTTGTAGGGCTCCAGGACTTTACGAATCCGGTAGCAGTAACTCTGGATAGAAAAGAAGAAACACCTTTTTTTCCTCTTTTATTTTCCTGCCTCTTCAACTTTCACAGTCCTTTTGTGAAAGGGGGCAGTACATGGCATTTCATAGCGCTTGCAGGGAGTCACGGCTTTTGGGACAGAGATGTGACAGGCATTGTCACATTTGTCCAACAAAACAGGGAGGAAAGGGGTGGAAGAAACAGGCTGCTTTACAGTGTGATATGAACATAACAAAGCAAGACTTTCTATCCAGGGAACATTTTGAGATCCAAAGCTATGTCAAAACCAAAGAGGCCTCAAACAACCAAACAGTTAAATAAAGAACACTCCTTTTAGGCTTTCAAGCCTTCGAGATGCCAAAGAGCTCTTGTGAGCAAAGACATGAGCTATCTGTTCTGTCTACAGCTCATTTTTGGAGGCGTCCTGGGCCAGGGGAACAATGTCAACCCATCCAAAAACTAGGCAAATAAATGCACAACCCCTTGCAGTTTTACCTTGTTAGAGATCACTGCAAGGTAATAGCCCAACCCATTAATAAAAAAACCCCCTTTTCGGAAGTCGATGCCCATCACTCGGATCTGGATTCGTTTTGTCTACACCAGCCATTAGGCAGTAACACATTTCAAAGCCTGATTTTTAATCAGCCTTCTTGGAGTGGAAAAGCCACTTAATGCATGAGCGCTTGATCTCCCCCTCAACTCACATCATCCATGTCATCCTCGTAGTCCATGGCATCCTCTTTGTGGCTGTCGACACGCAGGAAGAACTCACTGGGGACATGAACCATCTTGCCGTTGCAGTCTTGGTACTCGGCAGGCAGAACGGCCACGGGGCTGATACTGAGCGAGTGGCGCATGGTGGGCAACTGGAGCAGCTCAGGCAGGTCCAGGGAGCTGCGGTAGTCCAGGGACTCTGCCCGGCGGTGCAACGAGGGTCTGCTGACCGTGCTGGACTTGGCATCATCAGAGTCATCATCTGTGCTGCCTTTTCCCTCCCCAGAGAGCAAGGACTCTCTTTCTCCTGACTGGTTCTTCTTCTTGAGGCTCGGGGCTCTGCCCAGGCTATTCCAGCTTGAGCGTCGGCTTCCCCAGTTGCTGCTGGTGCCCCAGTTGGCACAAGGGGAACTGCGGAGGCTGGACTGAGTGAGGAAAAAGACATTTGAGGGTTTGTTTACAGGAGGAAGCCAAAGGATATGGCATTTTGCCCAGACTGGAAGACCCTTCTTGTTGCAAGTCATGTCTTCCCCTTCTAGCCTTCCTCACTGCTCTGATTTCAACATGCCAATGCCTTGAGATGGGGGCCAAGCACCCAGATAAGCCCACCCTGAAAGTACCCTTTGAACTACACCTGTAGCACAGCTACCAAACCTCTGTGCTGTATGACTTCCTACTGTCCTGGAAGTATCTCTCAATGTAATGCACAACATTAATTGTGCATAGAAACTGAACCCAAAGACGCTACTGCTGAAGTGACGTTTTCTTTCCTCATGTTCAAGCGGCTTTAGCACACAACTTCTTTGGCTTCCAAAGGGGCTCTGGCACCTGAGTCACCCTATTTGCACTACTTTCTCTTCAATTTGCTGCATAAGGAGGTGGAATGAGTGTTTTTCTCTTACAGCATAGTTCTGGCACTGATCGGTGTGTCAGCGTACTTTGGCTGGCAGGTAGCTGCCAGGATGAGAACACTTAGGGTCAGAGCAGTAAAGCTAGAAGGAAAACTCCTTCTCCTTCCATGGCTTCCTCCCAGCACAAAACAAGGCAAACTGCCTGCCTTCCTTCTCCCTCTCAGTGTTGGTCAGCTCTCCTCTGACTGCTTCATCTTCCTTTGGCTGGTGGCATTGATGTGCTCTCAGAAAAAGGATTCAAACTATGAACAACGTCTCTTCAGCAACTCACAATCCCATGAAACCCCAAGGCAAACAACAGTCATCTCTATTTTCTTTTCAGAAAGCATTACCTTGACTAAGCAGCTTACAAAAGGGGTAGTGGCTCTATCTCTGTGTGAAGTGCTTTCACAGTCCGCTGCCTTGATTTGAACATGATATTGCAGTTACAGAGCAGAGGAACGGGACAGATAAGCAGCAACAGCAATCCACTTTGTCTATTAACTCTGCTCCCTCTGTTTTCAGAGCTGCCCTCCCTCTCCCCCATTGCAGGCAAAATGCAATCAGTTGCCAAAACAGTCAGCTCCAGCCAGATCTCTGCTCCATGAGCTGTGCAATCGGTCAGCTCATACCTCATTTCCTCTGTTTCCCCTCCAATGGGGCTTAATTTCCCTTGACACAAGGTGGATTCAAGATGCAACCCTAAAACACTGTGGGTAGAAACAGGTCTCATTCTCACAGCAACACCTGAGGGCTCCTCCAAGTCACCACAAAATGGCCAGTGCAGTTGGCAAAAGATGTCTGCTCCTCCCCAGAGGGGGTTGCTGGAATAACTGCATGAACTAAGGACTTGTCTCAGGTTGTATCTCTCCAGTGAGGTGGCTTGGCATGGACCTCCAATCAGACACTAGGCAGGAAAACACTGAATCCCAGTATATCCCTGTCTCCCCTCTTCACATACTCACTGTCTTTGACTGCTATGTTGCTGCTGTCCTGCCCTAGCGAGCACACCCATTCATTTCTCCTTCTTGACTCTGTTCTGCCTTTCCACATACTTCCCACCTCTATCACCCTTCTTTTTATTTTCCAGCAATGTGTGTGCATGCACACACACACACATATCTGTACTACTTGCAGGCACCTGAGGGAGAGTAGTTAGCAACAGGAACCTACCAAAGACTTCTGATCGTAGCTCAAGGGGTCTAGAGAAGCATTACTCCCTCTCCTTGAGTCCACAAAAGTGTGCACTGAATCCATGTGTGGGGAACACTTTGGTGTGGGCATTGGTGTGGCAGCAGTGCGCATGATTATAGGAGGTGGCATGCTTCCCCTGCCCTCCAGGTGTCCATTTGGGGTGACGGCAAGTGAGTACATCTTCATCTCTGGAGAGAAGGGGAGAGAGAATACGAGGTGAATACTCAGCTACAGCTACAGAAATCACTCTTCAAAATGGACATTGCTCCTTGGGTCTTCTAGGAACTCCACCAAATGGAGATGAAATGTTGTTGGCAATAAGATCACCCCCACCACACTGAAAGGCATATGGCAAATGTCACAACCTTTTAAGATGCCTTCAGCCCTGCCTGGACTTGGAACTCATTGCCCTCCAAAGGAAGCTTCTTTTTCTCCCCGTTTCTTGAGATTTAGAGAGTGGAGTTACAGTTTTGCTGGGACTGGGCGAAAGGAAGGGCATTGAGGAGTGGCTAAATTCATCCTTGGACGTTAATCTCTTCTTCTTGACATACAGTCTTGCACAGAGATATTTATACAGTTGTGATGTGCTCAAAGTTCCTTCATGGGGAAGGCACTAAGAAAACATTAGTCATTGTCTTTAGTCATCTGCTCAGGGGCCAGGAAATGGAAGTTGCTCTTACACATCCACCCATCTAGAAGAGTAAACCTCCTGTAACAAGAGAAATCTAATGGCACATCTCTGTGGTAATTGCGGAAAGCATCTATTTTAGCTGCATGGCAAGTGCAGACTGCAAAAACCATATTCATGCTGAAGACAAACCAGACATTAACACCCACAGCCCTATGGAGTGTCGTAATACTCAATACCAAAAGCCTAATTTCAAACACAGAACTAAAGTTGAATTAGCTCCTGCTTTACTGGGCTTATTGGGTTCTGGTTTAATAACTTCAGAACCAGTCTTAAGGAGAGGGAAGGATGGGAGCATTTGCAACCAGGAGGAAAGAAGTACAAGTCTGCAGTGAGAAATCCAAGGGAGTGCATTACCCCTGCTATTTATCTTCCACTGGCTGCTTTTGTAATGCAGTGTGCTTCTATTGTATCTGTTTAGCTTCTGGCTTGCACACAAATACCTGATCTGCACCACAGAAGTCCATGGGAACGCTGCCATTGACTTTGAGGGGTGGAAGATCCAGCTCAAATATGCTAATCTGCAATACACGTTCCTCTTGCCAGTATATCTGTTTACAGACCAATGGCATTGTAATAGAATTGTTAATATCCTTATGCTGTTTAGTCACCGGTTGGCACCTATAAGGCTTACTCAAGGACCTTGACTGATGGCCAGTTCAGCCCTGTTTTCTATTCCTGTATTACCTGAGAAGAGGTGATAATATTCTTTCCCCTAGAACTCTCTTATTATTTGAAGCTGTCCAGCAAATAGTTGGTGCAAAGGAAATTTAAACTGTGGGTTCCTTGCCAACTATTTGCAATGGACATTCATTTATCGTTTGGTGTTTGGAATTTCTTAATTCATCTGCAACCTGAGCAGCTCCACCACCTTGCTGTGATCCAGCTCTGTCTCAGCTTCACCAACAAATTCCTTATGTCCCTTCCTGATCGGAATTCCATCTGCTCACCACAATCAATATAATTTCTTTAGCTGAAACAAATCCTGGTTCAGAAGAATTTAAAGTAATCCTAACAAGAGCCCAAGCCAAGAATCAAAGTACAGAGAAACTAAACTGGCTCCTGTTAACCATCATGCTGTTCACTCTGTTAAAATATGTGATCCCTTCCTGTCCCTTATCTGGTTGCAAACTCTACAGAGCAAAGGCTGTCACCTACTACTCCATGTTTACAGTACACTAGTACAATGTGGCCTTACCTCAAATCAATTGCCAGGCCCTCCTGTAACACAAATGAACAGCAACATTTCCATCAATCAAACCTCACCTAAATGCATTTGTGTGAGAAACCAAAAAGAACAGATGAGAACATGATTGATTTGAAAAGCTGCTGAGAAGTAGCGTGAGAATATTGGTGTCAGCAAACCATTCTGTGGTAATGATACATGAGAAATGACGAGACACGACATCTAAATAGTCTAGTATAGTTTAAATTAGAAAAACATCTGTTTAAAGGAAATATCAATGCTCATTTAGCTTTCCCAACACTCTCTGCATAGCTGTTCTGTTAACACAGCTATCAGATTAATTGCCAGATAAAATGGATTTTTCCCCTTTCCCTTATATGCTTCTATGAAAAGATGACTGGAAGCACAGTTGTAGTTCTCACATTTCCAGGAAAATGTAGAGACAAAATCCTACCTGTTGCTCGGAGGTCCTTTAGCTTCTCAAAATCATCATCAAAGTTAGCAGATGTCTTGTCCTCATCTGTGTCTGACCTATTGGCATCACCCTGCAGAGAGGAGAAGGATAGATAGTTAACAGACCCGATTCATTTAAACTTTAGCACAAATCCCATTACTTGGCAGCTCATAGATACCTCAGCTCCTCCTGATTAGCTTAAGCGTAGCCTCAAGACGGAGGAATGCAGAATGCCAAATTCCCTCTAATATGGCCCTAGGGAATCACTCCAGGTAAGTGTCTCTCTTCCTTGTTTTGATTCATTTTTGTACTTGGACAGAAAGGATGATGTTGCAATTGTTACTACTGTTCCTGCAGTGTCGACCTGTTTCCTACATCGTGCCCAGCCTCAGTGAATAGTGTATCCCAGGGGAGAACAGGAAAGTGCAGCTTTAATCAGAGGAGTGACTAAGAAAAATTGGCATCGTGGGGTTCCATATTTGCACTCTCCATGATCCCAGCTGAAAGCATGAAGGTTTTAGCATCAAAGGATGTCAAAAGGTTTTTCATCTTTATTTGACAGCACTGTAAATTTGACTTAGATCTGAAAACCCAGCCCTGATTTGCTTTCTTCATGCTGGCTGGGAATTGAGATTGTATTGGGAAATCTCTTGGCAACATTGAAGCTGAGGCAGAAGGGAATGAGGTCAGCTTGCCTGGCAGCACAGTCCTCTCAGGACAGAGAACAGTCAACCACCCTCACACTGGCTTTTCTCCTAGAAGTACAGTTCTTTTTCCCTTTCATACATATCTGCCTCTGCTACCACAAATGATCAACCTAAATAATGTACAAGCCTGGGACAGAAGAACTACTGTCAGGTTCTCCTCTGCTGAGGGGGTCTGAAGAGAGGAGATTCCAGCAGGCTGTTGGCATGACTTTGGCTTGCTCCATCAAGACTGCAGGAAAGCTGTGCAAATTGGTAGCAAATGGTTGGATTAAAGCAGCTGATCCTAGAAAAAGGAGCACAGTTCTTCAACTGATGCCTGAACAAATCACCATGGTTTCTAGAGACGTGGTGCTGAAGTGGCAGTGAACTTAGTTTCATCTGTGATGTATTGCTAACTGGTGCAGCCAAACAGAATGACTGAAAGGTTTAAGCTCCCTTATTCATCTTCTCTGTTTTGGAGCAGAAGCACTAGTGCAGAGTAGATGAAAGATTTGCATAATTTTAGAAGGTTTGTCTGCTCTTCCAGAGTAACTCTGGGGTAGATTTCAAAATGACATGGGAACAACAATGTAAGCACAAATATGTGATGATGGTCCTGTCTGAATCCTGGCTGCTTGTTGTCCTAAGCACAAATGTACTAAAAATGGTTTTGAGGGCATTCAAGTCTATTCTCTTCTAGGGATACTCCTGACAAACTTGGTCCACAGGCAGATCAGAACCTGAGATCAAACTGAAACTGTGTACTGTGATTCACAGTACAATTTGTAGTGTTCTTACTGAAATGTTGCTGATGGTTCATTGCTTAGAGCAGCTCTAATGTGCTCCCTCTTAACTGCACAAGTCTCCCAGGAGTCACTTTCCATCTAAGTGAAAGAAAGACCTGAGCAAAGGGAGGAGAAGTGCACCTCGGTGTCTGCTATAACTGCTAAGAGCATCACCCTGTAAGAGGGCAAAGTCAAAGAGGTCAAAACAAGAATTTCTGTCAGATTCCCAACATACCAACAGAACCAGGGATGACAAGAGAAAACCCAGCTCCACTGATACATCTTCCAAGCAGACTGTAAACATCTTTGGTTTACAACCAGAGCTAAGGTATGCATGTGTAAGTGCAAGACTTGAATCGAGCCCTGGTAGCTGAAATACATCCCTGAGAAGGGTTTTCTGTAACACAGCTAATACCTCACTATGAGACAACTGACAAGCCCATAGGCTTAATGTTGGGATTTATAATAAATGGAGGTAGAGTAAAATGTGCTCTGCAAATGTCATGCCTGTGGTTGCTGGCCTTTTCTGAGGCAGCACTGAGTGAATAATACAAACTTTGAAAACTACTCCTTACACACATTTAAATCATGGTTCGTAACAGCTCTGAAAGGAGCCATTAAGCCTGAGCAAGAAAACGACAGCTATTCAGCTAGACCTGCAATCACGCACTCGGAGAGTATTGCATGAGCCTGCCCATTTCAAGCTTCACGTTAGCAGGTGGTTCAACCTCCAAGAGGGCAGGCAAGGAACGGGTTCTGTACCATACAGAGACATCTGCATGCTGCCAGCTTGCCAAGCGGAGAAAACTTTCTTCTGCTTTAGAGTAATCAGGAACAAAGGATGCAAACTGCTGTACAAGGGCACTCTGTGCCTAAATGCAAGATTGCTTGAGTGGGAGCAGTTTCCAATCAGCTGAGTTATGATGGTTATCATCTGTTTGGGTTTCCCTGGCATGTACTCTTTTTCCACCCAGATTTGTTGGTTGGTGGAATCTGAGGATATCTGACACATGTTTGGCCACTGAATAGTCCCCTCTCTGAGCTAACATGCAGCCAGCTGTACTGGTTACTTCTGTATTCAGTTCAGGACAATCTATACTTTAGCACAGACTTCAGTCTGCTGTGGCCTGTGTCGTTTTCTAGCAGAACTGAGGTCCAGCACAACCACTCTGAACACAGCTACAACTCCCCTAGAGGAAAACCCCATCTAGGCTGGAAGACAGCAGCTACTACAGAGCCTGTAGAAATAGTGGTAATTGCTTTGCTTTGGTTGTATTAAATGTCCAACTTCATCTGCAACGGGTTGCACTAGAATATGAATATGGCAAAGGTGTTATAGTATCCAGGGCAAAGCCAGGAGATGCTGAGATCAGTGACACTGAGAAAACTACAGGAATTTTGAGATAAACAGTGTCAGCAGTTACTGACACATAGAGTATAAGCTTCTTCTTGGAATAGGACCTTCTTGCTCTTCTTGGTCAGCTGTGCTGGATCTTCAGGGCTTGGACCACATTGTACAAGCCATCAAAGTGCCCACTAATGCAGTGCAGAGCTGTTCATTTTGAAAGTGATGGGCTGAACTGTTCGTGTCTTCTCTGTGTGTGCAGGTGGCACTCAGTACCCTCAGCATCCATGAAACAGTCTTGAGGGATGTCAATCAGGGTTGTTTTTTCCCAAACTGGGGCTTGGCTCCTGTTGTTTCAATTATTTTTCCTCTGTTAGTGCTGCAAGGAAGCTAGGAGGGATATTTTAATAATGAATCTATGCAGACATTCTTGAAAGACATAAATGTGGCTGTGCTGGCTTGAGAGAAGGGAAATTTTGGTCCATGAATATTTCAGTTCTGTTCTATGGTCAGCAAAGGTTTGTCTAAGTGTGATCTAAGCACAGCAAATGAAAGCATGACACCATTTCTGGGGAAAAAATGAAAAAAAAATCCTATAAAAATAATTTCTTTCTCCCCTTTCCCTTGGGAACTAAGGCGGCGAAAACTGAAGCCATTTTCTTATTTTCTGAGTCTGTGTGTCTCTGAAGCCAATCCAGCACTAAGCAAACTTTCTCTTCTTGATTGTTGCAGAAATTAAGAAGTAATAATAAAAAAAATCACAAAGCACAATGTAAGCCTTTCAATGCCACTATTATTAGCTTTAACTGGGACTGGACGATTTTTGGTAAATCTCAAAATCATTTCATATGCTGTAGAACTTTGGAAAAAAAGTAATTTTTTCCTGGATAATATATATATATATATATATATATATATGTGCACATACATCATTACTTTTGCAACAGAAACAGATCATCCTCACTTAAAATCTCCCCCAAAGGGACTTGTTGTGATCAGAAAGAAATATGGAAAATAGCAGGACAGGGCAGGGGATGGCTGGTTTCACTCTCTCAGGATGCTGAAAACAGATCTGGAATGGACTTGCCAGTGAGGAGGAAAACTGAAGAGGTTGCAGGGGCCCTCCACTCACACCAGTACTGTATCACTGACACCACTCACACCAGCGTGGCCTGCTGCTCTGGATCATGTGGCACAAGATTGCCTGTCTAGTTCACACTGTGACATGGCATATCCCTTTTGACTGAGAAATAAAATCCTTTCTCTAATCTTCTCCGTGTAAGATAAGATGAGATGTCTGTGGTTTATCATAAATTCCCTGCTCATTGACCTGGTACAGGCATTATTTTCAGGTGTAGGTAAAAACCTCTTTAGAATTTATATGTCCTATATCACCTTAAGTATCCCAAAATTTAATGTTTGTAACCTTGCAGCTTTTGAACAGCTGTGCTACTAGTCTCAAACAACACCTAAGGGACAGAGTCACAAGGAAAGGCCTGGATTGAGAGCCAGTTCACATCCTACCTGGTTCCCATGACTGCACATGGCTAGATACACTGAAGGCCTATGGCCCACCATAAAGAACACAAAACACAGGACATATAGGAGATTCGATGAGTTAAATTCATCCTAAATTATCTCCTCTAGATCCCCTGCAATCAACCAAAGTGTTGGTCTCCCAAGTCCCATGCCAAGTCCAGTGGGCCTTATTTACAAAGACAGATTCACAAGAGTTTCATGTGCCCACCTCAGCTGATCTACACCACATGAGTTTAAATTTAGGGTTGCTTGCATGGTTAGATGTTTGCACTGACATGGATTCATCTCCATGCTCTTGCCTACATGTCCTTCTCAGTTTTCTCCCTCCCTCTGCTCAGATCTCTTACCTCTGCCTGGAAGCCTTCTACCAGAATGGCAACAAGAAGGTTGAAGAGCACATAATTGCCGAAGGTCATCAGGGCCACAAAGTAGAGTGCTGCCCATGAGGATGTAGATGCCATCCCATTGTACAGGACCACGTTCCAGTCCTCTTGAGTGAGGATCTGCAGAGAGATGAAGGGGAAGACTCTCTAATTACTCCACTCATCTCATGCACAGCAGCTGCATTCAAACACTGACTCATCCATTTCTTCCTCTCCTTTTAACCTTTTCTGAGCATAATCATTAGCAGGTCTCATGAGATGAGATGGCAAAACATTCCTTTTATCTTTGCATGTGAGAGCTCTCTCCTGGCCAAACCTGCCCTCTCTGCAGAAAGATCTAGCACTCTGCTGCTCACAGAGATGACCAGTGCAGATCCTAGATATGGTGACATGAAAGAGTCCCACTGTTTGGTGGTGTTATTGTCTCCTTTGATAACCTTCAGGAGACAACAGACCTGAGGTCAGAGCTGTTGTCTCCTTTTGGGCTGTTCTGGAGCTGAAGGGTAGTGCACATGATATTTGACAAGATAAATGACACTGGGTGGCTCAAGAAACTCAGGGAATCAAAGCGGTTTCCGTTAAGCAAAAGCACTGACAAGGTGGGCAAAAAAATACACTCCTTTGCAAAGCCTTGCTCCAAGGGACCTTCCTCAGGGATTCCCACTCTCCCAGATTTCCTGGAGCTTGAAAATCCTGGGGACTATGAAAAATGGATGACAGACTCATGCTCTACATTAATTCACACTTAAAGTGAAAATGGCCTCTAGCCCTCCTAAAAACAAGGCAGCTTTGGGGATACCAATGCAGTCAGCTGCTCTGAGCTATGTCACCTTCATGGGATGTAGGACTGAGCCTTTGTGCTCTGTACCCACTCTATTTCCCAAGGGACTGCTAGAATAAATGCAGAAATCTGTATTTATGTTGGTAAGAGAAAAATGTGAACCAGTGAGACTAATGCTGATTCATCCTTGCTCCTTTATAAGAAGGAAAACTTGGCAAGAAGTTATACTCTTCACAGTGAAGACTCTTGACTGGTTTCTACCTTGAATGATACTATGGTGAGCTCCTACTCTCTACTTAGAAACTTAGCTTAATGTTGTTTACATTGTGCTTCACTTGCTGCACTTGGGTTCTAAAGACTAAACTTTTAAACAGAAAACACTAGTTTTTATATTTAGCATGTCCTGGAAATAGCAACCTATTGCTCTATTGTGGAATACACCAGTGATTTCAAACATGTAACAGATCTTGTCTGCAGAGGAAAATCAACTTTTTACACAAAGACTTTCCCAGCATATAGAGCCAGCACCTCTATCTCTGACTTGTGACAGTATTTGTCACTCCCAGTAAAATGAAATTGTTTTGCAAAGTGTGTTGTTGGGGCAGTGAAGGCAAGTAAGGAGACAGAGATCAACAGAATAGGAGCAGAATGGACAGCAGACTGTGGATCTTGATCTTACTGACTATACGAAAGGAAAATAAGGGTGGGTTTCCAGGCCTTCTCAGACTTTCCTTTTACTGACAACAGATATGCACAGTGATGCTGTTGAGTAGACTGTTTCTCTTTCAGAGCTTATAGAGACAAGCTAGCTCAGAAACACAATCACTTCACCCTAATAACTCTACAGTGCTGTTTCAGTCCAAATTTGACATCTACTGGAAGAGTCTTTTGTTTTTAAAGTGAAATAACTTATCCAGGTGGTCTACATTAAAACTTCCCAGAAGATCCACAGCTTACCTGAAATACGGTCACAATGGCCCAAAGTAAGGAATCAAAATTCTTTCTATCTGGAACTGTGTCTCCTGTATCAGTTTTCAGGCTGAACTTGCATCCAAAAAGATGCATGCCAAGAATGCTAGAGTAGGAAAAAAGTGAGATGGAAGAAACACATTATTGTGTGAAATATGGTTGCAGGGAGGATTGCAGTGATTTTTCAGACACTTCCACCCACCCCAGTGTTTTGTGTGCCAGTGGTATCTCCCAGGAAAAAGGGCTCTGCTCCAGCCTTGACATGATCACTGATCAAACCCTGCCATTGGTTCTTCTATGTCACGTTTCATTATAATTGTCTACACTGAAGTAAAATCAGGAATCTCCTTTATCTAGAAAATGACAAACCATATTGCCAGCTCTCTAATCCAACTGGTTTCCAAGAACAGAGTCCTGAGGAGCATTATAGGGTCAAACAGACAGAAGTCTTGGAGTCTGTACAACCTCCATCTCAAATATAACACTGGCAGAGTCCAGTTACTGACAGCTTCATGAGACACAGCTAAAACGAGCCTCCCAGGAACTCCAGAGCAATCATTGCCTGTTTGTGTACTTCATTCATTCACAGAATTACAGTACTGCATGAAAAACTGAGATTGAGAAGAGGTAAATAGTCTGTTGAGCGTCTGCTTGTCAGTCTATTGTGAGCACTACAATTGTGTAGGCAGCCTAGAAAGTACAGTATCTCGTTAGTCTAACCTACATATTACTTAAGCAAGCTGAACAATTAAATCCAAGAAGAACTGCAGCCTCTGGTACCTGAAGATAAAGATGAAGAGCATAAGCAACATGCAGAAGGTGGCTACATTGTCCATTGTCTTCATCAGGACCACCAGCTGGCGACGGAGGGCGGGCATGAAACGCACCAGTTTCAGCACCCGGAGCAGCCGAAATGTTCGTAGCACAGAGAGGCCTCCGTCCGACTGGCCGATGATCTCCCAGACACTGCAGGACACCAGAAGGAGAAGAACTATAAACACAAGTACCGTACTATGGAAGCCCTGAGCAGGCTGGTTTCTTACCTGGTATCACACCACTAAAGCCCTAAAGGGGTAGTTTATTTGCCTGTTACATTCTCGCTTCTGAAAACCACCTTCATTTCCCAGTTGTGCAGACACACATGCTCATGCCCAAGCTATATCCTTTGTAGCTGGTTTCTTGATTCTTTAACTCCCTTGTTTTCTGTGGCTCTTCCCAACACAGCATGTCTCCTGCTAGTCTGCATCACAACAATCAGTCACAAGCCTAGCCACAAAATGTGGATCAGGATTTTGTACCAAGCGAATATCCAGAGGGATTTATGTTTGTTGGGGTGGGTTTGTTTGATCAGGCCCCACACTGGCCTTTGTTCCAGGCCTCTCTTGCTCCTCAATTCTCTAAATCAAAGGGATGGGCCAACTGAAGCCAAGAGCACTACCCTGGTTTACACCTTCTGTATCTCCCTTGACTTCTCTGCCCCAAATTACTGATCGAGGGGTGAACAGCGCTGCTAGAAAGGATCCCACCACAGAGAGGTGCTGCACAAGCTTCTCAAACACACGCTGTCACATCTCCAGTGTAGGCTGTGGTAGCATTCTCCTGGGAGAGGGCAGCAGGACAGTGCCCTCTCTTACCCTCCTGCTTGCTCTATTCTGGCCTGAGTTATGTGTTAATTCAGGAGAGGGAAGGCATGCTGCTGGGATATGGGCGCTCGCAGTCCTCCTTTCCCAGGACCAGTCACTCTGCACTTCAGTGGAAAATTGACCACAGTGCCAGATGTGTGGCGTAAATAGACTTTGTTCTCCATCTGCCAGGTCCATTTACTTTGGACAGTCCTTCTAACGACAGGAATCTAAAAGGCCAGCATAATTATAGCACATCATAGCCAGCAAACCCTGGATTAACACATGCCACATCATTCCTGTTCCCCATCCCACTCCCCAACCGGTCTGAGCCCTCAGCAGAAAAGCCACAGTGAAGAAAGAACTGGCAGTGACCTGATGACAACTATGATCCCATCAAAGATGTTGTACGGGTTCTTGATGTAGCCGAAGAGGCCAAAGGCAAGGAGTTTCAGGAGCATCTCCAGGGCAAACATGCTTGTGAAGACGATGTTACTGATCTCCAAGGCGTTGGTCAACTCATCCGGCTATGGGGCAAAAAACCAACATGGTCAAACAGATGCACAGAAGAAATAGCTAAAGGCTGGTATGTTCCTCCCACCCTGGTATTTGTGCTAATGATGCACAAATACTACATCTTCCCGTCTTCCTTCCAGAGGGCCATGGAGGCAGGTAAGTGTCTGAGTGGAACAACAGATGAGCCTCATGGACAGTCCCTGTGAGTCTTACTGGAAAAACAGAATCCCAGCCCATTTCTGGAGCAGCTGCAGAACAACTGTACCCAAAAACCTGAAAGCTATGCAAAGGAGAGGGCTTATTGACTGTTAAAAGATACTGTTATCCAGGTGAATGGTCAGCGTGGCTTGTAAGGCTTCTGTTTGGACTTCCATCAGTCAGGCTGTCTTTATTTCACTAACCCCAGTGGAGCTTTATAGATATTGCTATATCCAAAGCAGGACCACTGTCAATACAGCATATCTCTATTCATACACAAACAAAGCACTTTTCTTGCAGACATCTCTTAAGAGAATTAGGAGAACAAATACCAGTGATCTCCCTTGAGATATTTATCTCCCTTTGGAAACTGTCCCCCAAAAAACCCCAAGATGATTTTTCCTTCTGAAGTCCCGGTTAATAATGTAGAGCAGATTTTGTTAAAATGACAGCAGTATGGCCCCAAGTGTCCAGATTCCCTCCAGGATCAGTGTGGGTTTCTCTGAGTGTACAAGACTGCACGCAGCTTTAATCCAAGAACTGTTTTTTCCATTCCCTTCCTCTAACACCAGCACCAAATTACTTTGGGCAACAATCTTGCTCTTCAGACAGAGTCTTAGATTTTCCTTCCTTTCCTGGGAAGTGCAGCAATGTCTCCCAGCACCCAGGCTCCAAAATGTGGCACAGGAGGGACAGATGCAAAAGGTGGGATGGGGTTCACTCACTCACTGGAGCGACTCTTTCAAACAGCAGAAGGCTCTGCAATGCGCACTGCTAATGCTCAAGGCCTGTTCCTTAGCAAAAGAAAATGAGTCTTTTTCATTTCCTCAGTGTAATAATATTGCCTAGAAAAAGGTGTTATTTTCATATCTGACTCATCTCCTGACTGATAAAAGCTTCCTTTATTCCCCATCTGTCATTAGACACTATGTTAAAAGTTGGCAGTTTCTTGGGGATATGGTTGCATTATTTGAGGCTCCAAAGGGAGATGACCATTGCAATACAGTGGCACGGCCACATTTAACTCCACACTCTGCAAACTGAATCCTTGGCAATTGAAGGAGAGGGTGAAAGAGTTAACTCGAAAGCAGAAAGAGCCCACACATCCCCTACTATAAGCAGCGACAGTCTGTGGGCTGCTAATGAACCATCATTCATAAGCTAAATTACTTTATGCAACAGACTGTCTTTTGCTCAACCATTTATTCAGGAGAAAGAGCACTAAGAGCCTCAGTCCTCATGATTATAATCCATATACACTAATTACTAAGGGACACCAGGGAAAGGACTGTGCAATTTTCAGTTCTTTAGTCCCTAGCAAGGGGTGGCCCAGATGGCTGCACAGTGCACCTCAACACTGGGCTGTCCTCACACCTTCCCTCCTGCAGGGATGACAATTCCCTCCTTGACATCATTCAGTGCTCGCCTGTGCTATTTCCTTCCCCAACAACGCCAAAACAACCTGGGCAGAGCTTTTCTCTTTGCAATGAAAACACAGCTGAAGAAAAGGGCTGCTCTAGGATGGCATCTAACCAGCTCCTCAACAGAGACTGAGCCTGAAACAGCCCCGCAGGCTCCCAGGCGCCTGTCCTGCTGTAAGACACAGCGGGGACAGGACACCATGCTCACAGTGTCCTCAAGCTGTTTGTCAGGAGCAGAGCACGCCTGGCACGTTCAGTCTCCCCTCAGCTGGGGTTATACAAGGGCATTCCTGACAAGGAGCAAAATAACTTGCTAAGTTCTTGCATCCCTCCAGGCAGCAGATGGAAGGCTCCTTGGGACAGGGTGTTCACAGCAGGCCAAGGATGGCTTGTTAGCATGCTGAGGCTGGGAAATTAATGACACTATCATAAGCAAGGAAGCTGCAGCTTGGGCAGCTTTGAAGAGACAGAATTGTTCTGTAGCACTTTTTGCTGGGAAACACAGATCCTGCCTGTTGCTACCCACAGTACCTTGTTGTCTGCAATACAGCAGCAGTCTCATCTGCTAAAGTCAGACTCAGTTCAGTGTTCTCCAAGTTCACCCTGCTGCTGCCAGATGTGCTGCCAAGAGTCACAATTTCATCATGAAAACTGGGATAGCTGGTGATCTCAAAATCTCTAATCCTGGAGTTACACGAATAGGACAAGACAACCTCAGGAGTCATTATCAAAAAAGTCAAGTGTCCAGCCTGAAAAGACTAAGCCGAACAAACTTAAATACATCCTCAGGCAAGTAAGAAGAATTTTTAAGCTGCTATTCTCTAAAATCCCATGTTTTCTAAGCCAACCTCAAGATTTTTCTGTGGCCTGTTGAACACATGTCATTGCAACCAGCTAATCTGCTGCTATCACTCCTTGAATTGATTTGCCAATTTTCTTTGACAACTTGGTGTTCTTTTTGCTCTCTCCAGTGCCATAACTTCTGCTTCATGTACGAGTTTAGAGAATGCAGGAGAAAAGCTGCAGCCAAATCTCAGGGGAGGCGAGAGAGGGCATGAGGAACAGGGAAAGGAGAGGACAAGGAGGTGGCCCAGATGAGATCATCAGGAGCTGTGGTGAGATGCTGATCCAGCAGATCAGGAGGACGGGGGGACGCCTGGGTGAGGCTGACGGGCAGCGGGCTGACACTGCAAAGCCAATTACGCTTCAGACAAGAGATCTTCATTATCCTTTAGTGATCATATTTGGTGTGAAGCAGAACTAATTTGATGACAAGGACTGCTGTAACGCAAAACGTTTGGAGCGCAGTCCTGCAGTGACATGGAGGCAGGACCCACTGGGCAAGGACAAGGATGGATAGCCCTGCATGCTGGCTAAGCTGCTGATGTGAGCTTTTGTATTATTAAGAGTGGAAGCTGAACAGCAGATGAGCCAAGCATCCAGTGATACAGCCTTCAAATGTAATTACCTTCTTTCAGCACCAACCAGAGCTCAGAAAACAGCCTGCCATAGATATTTTTATGGCTTATGAAATGGTTTGTTGCTTAGAGCACAATGCATTTCCCACTTTTCTCAGTCCCTGATGAGCAAAGATCTAGGAGGAGGGTCAAGGAAGAGACACTTGAAAGACAAGATAGATTTGGCCATTCCCCTGGACTCAGCCACTAGGAGACACTGTTGTTTTGTTCAAATTTAAGCCAACCCCAGAACAGGAATTTTTTCCAGAAGGCTTTTTCTCTGGGAAAAACAAAATGTCGATTTGCAGAAAACAAAACTTTTCATGGCAAGGATTATTTTTGTCAAATTTCCCGGCTGGAAGAAAATGAAATTACAACAGCGCTTCAAAATTGCTGCAGCGTCTTGCTTTGACCTTCTCAGAAAAGGAAAATTCAGGCATTTTTCTTGAGACATGGTTATGTCTCAAAATGCAACTTCCCTTCTAGCAAGGAATGGTTAACAAACAAAGAATGGCATCAAAATGATGCGCTTTCAAGAGAGTAGTTCTAAAGTGGTATTTTTTTGCTTTTTGCCAAACACTTTGTAAATATTAACAACTCTGTCAGGGGAAACTACTTGCCCACCACAGGGCTCTGAACCACATCAGTGAAAACTTCCTTTTTCAAATTACAGTGAGAGTGCATGACCCTTCATCAACTTTGGATATCTCCACATCTTTTGCTGCTGTGATGCTTGACGGTTACGTTGGTCCAGGTTTTCAGAGACAGGCCAGGCCAAATGGAGCACGGCCAAATGTCAACCAGGGGACATTGCATGAGGCCATGGAACACGGAGAAATCCCCACAACAGATGCGATGCTGGAGATGGTGGGCAATGCTGCCCCCCTGGTATGAGGGTCACAGTGCCAGACATGGCGTCTGGAACAGGAACTGCCATGTTGGAGACAGTCAGCAAAAATGAGAACAGAGAGTGGTTTAACAAGTCCCACCCCCCAGGTCCCAGGCAACATTCAAAAAAGGTTCAGATCTGAGTACAAGTTTTATAGATTTCAGATTCAAATGAATCCTCATACTTTAGCTGCAGGAGTGAGTTTCCCACCATTCAAGAGAAGGGTAGAAACTATATGGGATCAATTTATAAGATTTCAGTATCCTTGAATATGAGTTTAAAGTAACAGTTAGCCTTGACTCCAGGCAAAACATGTCCCAGGAAAGCACAACCACCTTCGCTCACTTTGAAGGCCATATTTATGCTGCAGAATATTTAAGTGATTCAAAACCATGTTTTTATTAGAGACAAACCTCAAACGTTTCAGCAGTTCATTCTGAGTTCAGATAAACAGACAAAAAATCCTTTTCTAAATAGTTTGGGTCTGAAAACCTCGGAAGACTAGTCTCTTTCTCAGAATCTGGTTTTAGCAAGATGCAGCACAACCCCAGAGCCTTCCCAGAACTGGGAGAAAGTCAATAAAAGAGAAACCCATAATGGTCAAATTATTGATGGCCCCTAAAAGCAGAGAATGAAGAATAGGAGTAGGACTTCACAGCCTTAGATTCTTTTTGTGCAACTAAATTACTGCATTTGTTCAAGCAAGTCACTATCTCTTTGTCTCTTTGTGCCTCTCTCCTCTCGCCTGTCTTCTACCTTGACTCTTCTGCTTGCTGCCTCCACAACCACCTATTTTACACAGCTCAGATTCAATCACCAGCAGGATGGCACCTTGCCTTGGCTGGGGCACCTTTTTGCTTTGATACTGAGTAGAAATAATCATGTCTGCATCACATTGGAGAAAAGGGCTGTTAGACACCTGGTCCCTCCTGCTGAACGAACAGGGAAGTGCTTCCCCAGTTAAAGATGTGCTTTTGCTTCAGAAATCCCCCCCAAGCCCAAAGCAGCCGTTCAACTCCTCCTGAACAGGGAGAGCTGAGACTGGC